GCAACAAATTGGGTCCAGTGTAGGGACGCCGTGCTTTCAATTGGTAGGCCCTCAACCTGTTGCGGACTGTTTGGGGAGACACACGACGCCCAAACAATGTCCTTGTAGTCTCTACTGCGGTAACGAATCGATTGCGCAAGTGTATCAATCGTATACGACGGTCGTCCCTGGTGGTCGTTTTACGGGGTCGGCCGCTTCGGGGACGATCGGATGTTGACCCAGTTTGGTTTAAACGACTTACCAAATGGCAAATTGTCTTAACACTGCAACCAACATGCCGTGCAACACGACGGCGAGACTCCCCAGCCTGGATCATTCCTACAGCCCTTTCTCTCTGTACTTGTGACAGCCGGGGCATAATGATAAAGTTGATAGATAGCAAGATTCGGTGATTTCCAAGTCCTAAGGATCTAAGGAACAGTTGTCAGTTCGAATGTTTATGAAATTCAAGCGAAGATACAAGTTAGTCGCAGAAAACCTCGTGCAGCTTTTCGCTAATACAGACTTTCACGCTTGAATGATGTCATTTTGTTTTCACTCATTTACAGGTATTCGCCAAGGAAACATGTTAACCTTTCTTTTTTTGTTGAGTATATATGATTGTAACAACGACACAGAAGTGATCTGATATGAAAAGACGGAACAAAGATAAAACTGAATACTTAACTAGCTTTATCATGTTTCTGAATTTCATTTGCATTTATAGAATTGGCTTGCAACGTTCAAGATAAGTGACTCCAAATAAGAATAATGCAATGTTTTCATTCTAGCTTTGGACTGAATTATGTCAAGGATTAAACAACATTTTTGAACAGTTGAACTATTTCACAAATGTGTTTACAGGTTAAAGTATAGCGGTTCATTAAAATTAGCCTAAAAATTAAAAGAAACGGGATTCTCAGCTATTTCAGAGTCCCCAACGTTAAAGAAAAAAAACCAGATAATTTCCCATTCTGCGTTAAGAATGAAAAAGTCACAACTAATGATTCACAAGCGTGAAATATGATTAGTCTTATTTTCATTGATTATAATTACCGATAAACAGACGAATCTTATCCGAATTATCCAGAGGTCCTAAATTAGGATTACAGCTTGCATTTGGATTCAGAGGTGATGCTCTTTATTTGAATATCTGTCAATCGTACCAGAAGAGAGCTTGGATGTATGGTGTGATGATGAACAAAACCTAAGAAGATTGTTCAAGATATAAAAGTAATAGCACTTTTTAATACAAATTTAAAATTAGCTACAGGTAAGCCAAATAATGAACTAAACTGCATAATACGGCTGTTTTGTCCCTCTAAGACTCGTCAGTGATGTTAAGGGCCTAAATTTTGCAGGCTTAGAAGGCGACTGAAGAAAATTCAAAATGATCGAGGGAAACGAAAATGCAAATTCTAGACATAGGGTGCACTAGTTCCCTAATACTGTATATTTCGTAATGTTCATGTCAGACAATTTCAAGACAACATTTAGGTACATGTCTACAAAAGAAGTTCAAACATGAAAGTGAAATATCATTACATGAATCCTGCCAAAGCAAAGAGTGTCGTTCTTGTTCTTCCACAGGACTTCCAGATACTATCTCGAAAACATGTGAAACCACTGCTGTTAGGAATTGTTCACAATATAAAATATGCATTGAAGACACAGACAGATATATTTATCCGGGAAGAATAAAAACGCGTTCATCCATCACGTGATAATATCAGATGTTTACCTAGAATTTCCTAACAATTCCTCCAATCTGACAAAAGGAATATCTTAACCGATTGTGATCAAGAGACCAAGGCGGCGACATGATTATAGAATGGTTGCATTATTAAATGTGTATACCAAATGATCAGGTATAGAGTGTGATTCCTGCTCGAGTTGACCAACAGTATCAATTCTGTTTGACTACAGACGACATAATAGATAAGGGTATATGCAAAATTAGGTTCTAAACGCGGAAAATGTCTCACAGATTCTTTAGGTTGACGCTTTTTATCTAGCATTTTGAATCAAATATACATTTCATACAATGTCTTATTTTAATTTCATGATAGTTCCAACACCAGTATACCTTAGCATCCCCTTAACATAGTAACGTCCTTTGTTCACTCTAGCATTATTCACAGGACGTAAATAAGTCATACAATTATTTTCGTTCCAGCTTGTACATTTTCCTACCAAGGCTACATATCATTTCGGAAACATTGACTGCAACGGTACTCGGAAATCGCTAGATATTACTACTGAGTTACCAATCACTTCTGAAAGTTCCAACTCCGTTACTTCTAGTTCGTCACCGTTAATTCAACCTACAACCCTATATCTAATGTCACAAGCGATGTATCCACTATATCTCCACTTTTCGCCGATTCAAACAACACACCATACTTCAGTAATATTACAGATCTTTCCACGTCTACACATGTCACAACTGCTTCTGACGATAATGTTGGAGATAAATGTACCTTCTGTCTTATGAAACTAGCTATAGAATACCTCATGGCTAACATTGATGGCGTCTCCAACGCGAACAATAAAAGCAACGCTCCGTTCAGAAAAACACATCGATAGAAGTGGCTTCTGTCCTTGTGTTGAGACTTCTGGAGTCTTCTGCTTTCTTATTTTCTAATAATTATTGATAATTGAGAAGTATACGCAACTATTTGATTCTGTCCTTTTGCCCCCTTTCTTTGGTCACAATAACCGGATTGTTTGATATCAATGCGGCACATTGAGACATAGTTACTAATTTGATAAGATCTCCGTACCTAACATCGTGAAACAAAAAGGACATTTGAATAAATATCAATTTTCTTTGTAACTGAATTTCGTTATTTTTTCTTTGTTTCTTTACAGCATAAAAAGTCATACATTATTCGATTCTGTCCTTTTCCTCTTTTTTTGGTCGCAACAGCCGATTTTTTAATATCAATACTATTATTTTTTCTTTGTTTCTTTTCCACTTAACTGTTACCATATCAAACAAATACCCATAGATTACAATGTTTCCGTTAATTGCAGAATTCAACAATTAAGTCAAACTTTTCGGCAGACATTCCGAACATAGGAGGTTTTTCAGCAAGTAGTTTGAAAGTATCCTATCTAAAGACGCCGTGTAGAAATCCTTTATCAGTATACAAACTAGTGCTAAGAAGCCAAACCAAATTTCTTAGGATCGCTTCGATATCTATACAGTCTGTTGGAAAGCACTACAAAGACATCATACCTACAACTAGTGCGGATATTTCACCTTTTGATGGTTTCTGTGGTGAAGGTCCAGATACTCGAGTTATGGACTTCGGTTACGTGCCGAACAAAGATAATCAGTGACCTGTGCAGTATACTATTATAGCAAATCGGGTGCAAAAATCTGACAGAAGTCCAATAACGTTATTTAATGTGTATTTCATGATTATTTATCTTTTAAGATAGCTATACGTTGTAATTCATCAACTTTAAAATCAGACCATTTCAAATGAAAATGAAAATGTTTGTGTTGCTAAACCATTAATTAGTTGTCACCTGACGTAAAAGAATGTGGGTTTCCATCATAAACAGGATTGTTGTTCTTTGGCTATATATACTAATTTTACTGGACTTTTTCGCATTAATATGCATTTCATTAATTATGCCGAGGAATTCATATCTTCAATACAGGATTTGTTGCCGCAAACACTTCAACATCTACTGACGATAACATCGAGTTCAAAGTAAACTTTATACTTACCCCTTGAGCATAGCTTTAGATGTGGATTTTATGTCGGTCGAAAACAGAATAAAATATTTCAGCGCAACCGAAAGAATAGCTGTAAGTTTATAAATGAGGGTGTAGAAATCCATTGTTAGATTGTCATTATTTTTTCACTTTTCACAAGTTTAGTATCTCTCAAAAATCCTATTGGGAAAGGGCTCCATATAAGTTTGATTTTTTCCGAATCCTATTGTATACATTGATACTAATAAAAAATGTTTAAATAAAAAATGATTTAGTGACGATAATGAATTTTTTTCGTTTCGGAAGCATGCGGATTTATTGATTTATTATAAATTGAGCACATTGCCAAACGATGCTTGTTCCCATGTGCGACTTACACGCCAGTACAATTAAAATAAAGTAATAAGTTTTCTATCCCAGCAAAAAGTTTAAATCTACCTTAATTTATATATCTATTATGTCCGAATCGCATGGATAAAAGAAAAAAAGGTTAGATAATTATTTCCTGCAAATTTTACAGAAATTCACAAATGTCACTTTTATTCATGTGCGATTTTGACACACATCGCATGCAAAAATAATTGGTGTTCACTACCCGTCAACATCAACCCTCTTCTAATCATACGAATATACATATATAAAATCAGACTCAATATGTCAAGATATTGCATCCTGTTTTGAGATTGTCAAACAAGAATTCGCGATATATAGTGCTTTAACACCTGAATGTGACGCAGTGAAAGAGAAATCCGGGGTTCCTGTTCGTCGTTTGGTTGATTTAGAACTGGCTAGTGATAAGGTCGGTATTTATTGGAGACAAGGACAGGGGTGACTTAAAATCTCCAGACATTGAAGCATGGTGTTAAGTTCAGTTCCAATAGTCCACTATTGTATCTGTTGTACAATTATCGATACTGCTGGTGGTACACTATACAGGTGGGTGTGAGTATGACCCCTAGGTTTGTCGTAAACACGCGCTCAGTCTCAATTCATGCACGTGTACTTGACGTTCTTCTGAAATTATCAAATGTACGAAATATAGGACAGAACAGCTGTGTGATGCAGTTCTAAGCAATGAAAAGTGCAACAGTTGCATGTCGTTTTTGTATCATCCTTTTATCAGTAACTTAATCGATGTTCACATAAAGAATGGGATAACTCATGAAGTGTATACAAATGTGTTGAAAGTTATCTCCCTATTATGTCTAAGTTTTGTATTAATACTCATTTTAAAGAATTGATATATCATTCACACAATAAAAAGAATTTGGTGAATATAAAATATGCATACAGAGTGATGGTATAGGAAATGTTCTTCTTTAATATCAGAAGATACTGATATCAAGATCCTAGGGCAGATGTTGTCAGTAAAAACAGACGAAATACAATAAATCTCTCATTACTATACATGTCCTTTCTTTACTTGATAAGCCAGCGTCTCGGAGTCGGGGAGTTTGTTGTCTGTAATACTCAGAACACTTTGTTCTCCATACAGATTATTTTCGTGTACAGGGAGGTAACTCTTATATCGTTGTTCAACACACATATGCCCTCAGAGAAAACAAGTCATTTACATAATGTTATGAAATAGTTGTGACGTAATACAGCGTATTATTTTGACCGATCTAGTTTCTGCCAGTCCCTGCCATTGTGAAACTTCTGATATCTAGAGTGTTTTATGAATCTTTATTTCCGGTTCGGACATGGTGTCAGTACAAACAACATAGGGAAATCCATGGAATGTATGGCCATTGAGTGGGTCCTTCCAAGTCTCCAGCGTTGACGCTGCCCCATACTGATACTGAAACAGTTAATGATCCAATTAAATCTTCTCCATTGTTCCAAAGAAATAATATTAATTATCTAATAACAGATTGCCGAAATTCGAAGTATCAAAAAACATGAGCCACAAGGGCCTTAACGGTCACATGAGGCGCAATGATTCTTGTAAATATGTCATTGAAATGATTTTGCTAAAAAATGAAATATAACTTTAACTATATTGTACACATAATGCAAATGTAAATTGTGTATACATTAACTGCGGTCCTATGCTAAGGTTTCTAACCAAGTTTGAAATAAAAGAAAAACTCAAGATAGGAATTTTCTTATTTAAAATCTTACATCCAGGAAAAGTGGAGCATCTTTGAAATTGAAGTCAATTTGACGCATTTTTGGCCCCACCCATCAGCCCCTGGAAGTCAGTCAGTGTTAATATATGCATCTCAACGAATTGCAATTTATATTACTAAAAAGATATTTAAGATGTTGAACTATTTCTGAAAGAAAATAAACAAATAATGCTCAAAACTGTAATTTTCAAATATAAAATTTAGTACATTTCACCCACTCCCCTGGGGGAAATGTGAGACTTTGGAGTCATGAAATTTACAATGTTAATAAGACACCGTACGAAACTTCCATCCATGATGAGTACTGGATTCCACTTTACCTGGGATTTGAGAAGAAGATTGTTTGAAATTTTAGTCTATTTTACTATTTTACCTATTTTTTATCCCGCCCGACAGCCCCTGGGTGTTAGCCGAAGTCAATGTGTCATCTTATTAATCTGTCATCTTAAACTAATAATTCTAACCAATAAAAACTATAAAAAAAAACAAATAATGTTCAAAAATATTATTTACCTATATAAACTATAGTAAACTTGACCCCTTCTCCTGCGGGAAATGTGATACCCTTGAGTCATGAAATGTACATTTCTAGTAAGGTCATCTTAAGGTCATCCACGAAGAGCACCTGATTCTATCATACCTGGGATTGGAAAGGAAGATTTTTTGAAGTTACAATCAACTTGGTCTCTCCCATCCAGGCCCTTAAGGGCAGGAGACTATATGATTTACAATTCGGGTGTGTCTTTAGCCATGGAAGGTTTTCGTAAAATTTATAAAATCTCACGACGCCAGACAAAAAGGAATCGCAGTAGGTCACTTTGATACTTTTACCCAGGTGACCTAAAAATACTAACAAACACTGATCAATAATGAAGCGTATTTTTTTAGCTGTCTCACCTTCATATTAACTGCTACGATCGCAACTTCAAATATTTGTCCATCGCACTTCCGGCGGATGTCACTGATGACTTCCTCACATGCTGTCTGTGGCTTTTTCCCCTTGAGGAAGATACAAGTCACGACTGATCGTACATACATACAGCAATTTATGTTGACGTATAATACACTACAGCTCACTCATAAAGGCACCGTAAGCAACTTGTAAAGATCCATGCATCAATGTGATCAAAAATATTGAAAAACATCGAACCAGAACACACAACAACAAAATAATCTGGGTTTAAAAAGGTATAACCATCCTATAGTGACAGCATGGCGAAAACCTCGCAGTGTTGACGTGTGGAAGATTGCGAACAGATATACAATGGGTTTAGAGTAATGTAAAGTAACAGAAGACTTCTCCGACCAAGAAAAACCAACAAGTACGTGGGCCATCAACTTATTCCAAGTTCAGTATCCCTAAATACTGTCAACAAATGTAGAAACGCTGCAAATATAGGAACAAAAAAACTGCACGGTAACTGGACGTTCAAGATGCGACTAAATTCATGTTAATTAAATGATAGAGGAGTGGTCTTAGTACGTTATTTATTTTTCATATAGATCGTTTTTAGTATTTTCATAAAGGTAGACCATTTCCTGCGTAAAGCCGATGTAACGTAAACAACGTCACATATCATGTTAAGTAGATTATAATGTATAAATATGTAACTTCCGGTCTAACTCGATGTGACGTCGTTCTTGGTTTCTACCACTGCAGGGCCCGGAAGTGATATTCCCAGTGCAGCTTTATTTGTCACCTACTTTTCTAAAAACACCCCATGGTGAATATCGACTACTGCACGTAGGTTTCTTACTATCAACAAGCAGCAAACATTTAAGAGTTTTATGAAAGTTTTTTTCTATTTAAATTTCCTCTTGTTATGTCCGAAATGGTCTCAATCTTCACGTCTAGATACTCGAACACAAGCAATATTTCGACAAAACGGCTTCTCGTGCTGTCGTGTATAAGCTTATATTGAGTTTTGTTAAGATCTAGAGAGCGCAAATCGATGTTTTCTAAAACCAAAGCATTCGAAACAGATTTAGTGAAATCGTTATTATGTCAGCACACCGGGATAACTGGTGCTCTCGCCCAAGGAATAAATCTGACATGCAAAGTTTTCGTGTATTTGCAGTGACGGGAAACAGCTGCCGTATATCCGCACAAAATATTCGCTTTGAATGATTATTTGTACGTTCGTCGCGTGTATGTGTACACGTTTACGTGCTTGTTTACAAACAGGTCATATGTGTATCTAGTGACATTTGAAGTGGATGTCGATGTTGATTTAAAATAGCAATGGTGTGCCTTTTTTCAAATAATCTGTACAAAAAGTATCGCAAACCTTTGAAATTGGTATACATTGTATATTGTACCAAAATCCATCATGATACATTTGAACTAATATCAACGCCTTAGACAACAATGATATTTGAGTAACTAGGTAACTGAGTAGTTAGCTGTAACCAATAAATACAGAAAATCACACTAACTGGCTGTAACCAATTAATACAGAAAATCACACTAACTGGCTGTAACCAATTAATACAGAAAATCACACTTACTGGCTGTAACCAATTAATACAGAAAATCACACTTACTGGCTGTAACCAATTAATACAGATATCACACTAACTGGCTGTAACCAATTAATACAGAAAATCACACTAACTGGCTGTAACCAATTAATACAGAAAATCACACTAACTGGCTGTAACCAATTAATACAGAAAATCACACTAACTGGCTGTAACCAATTAATACAGAAAATCACACTAACTGGCTGTAACCAATTAATACAGAAAATCACACTTACTGGCTGTAACCAATTAATACAGAAAATCACACTAACTGGCTGTAACCAATTAATACAGAAAATCACACTAACTGGCTGTAACCAATTAATACAGAAAATCACACTAACTGGCTGTAACCAATTAATACAGATATCACACTAACTGGCTGTAACCAATTAATACAGAAAATCACACTAACTGGCTGTAACCAATTAATACAGAAAATCACACTTACTGGCTGTAACCAATTAATACAGAAAATCACACTAACTGGCTGTAACCAATTAATACAGAATATCACACTAACTGGCTGTAACCAATTAATACAGAAAATCACACTAACTGGCTGTAACCAATTAATACAGAAAATCACACTAACTGGCTGTAACCAATTAATACAGAAAATCACACTAACTGGCTGTAACCAATTGGCTGTAACCAATTAATACAGAATATCACACTAACTGGCTGTAACCAATTAATACAGAAAATCACACTAACTGGCTGTAACCAATTAATACATATATCACACTAACTGGCTGTAACCAATTAATACATATATCACACTAACTGGCTGTATATCACACTAACTGGCTGTAACCAGTTAAGACAGAAAAAGAAACACTATTAAGGACCCCCAAAGATGATAAACATCATTGATAAGTTTTGAAGCAATGTAAAAAAGGTAAGACTATGATGTCCTGATAGCTAAGCAGGTGCCAGCAGAGATATGCCCACCTCCATCTCTGACTGAAATGTTGGAGACTGGAGGAAAGCAATGGAATAAGGCAACAGTCTAACGAAACAACACGATAAAACTATATGTCACCATTTCCTCTATTTCATCACTTCTGTTTACTCTCTTTTATGACGTAAGTTCTATCAAATGAAACATCGTAACTAGGTGAGATAAAGTTAACTAGTGTTTAACATCGTCGATATTCATCTCAGAGGACGAAAGTTTTAATGATGGATTTGAAAATCTATAATTGTGTTGTGTAGTATCGATGTGATTGTTTCGTGCTGACATCACACCAATACTTTCTGATGTCAGTATCACTAGCAGAGATTAAACGTTTTAAATGATTCTAACTGACCTCCTTCATGAGCTGGACAACCCGGAAGCTTGGACAGAACATCATAATCTGATCTCCATCGCCACTGCAGCAGGCTGCCCCTACCTCAGCATCTGTTGAATGAAGGTAACATTCAGTTTATCTACTAGAAATCTTTATAAACTATACATTATATTAATTCACATTTCCTACTTTTTACTTTGTAACGAAACTTTTTTCAAACTTATAAAACCACGTCACGTGATGATCTGATACAATGATACAATAAGTGGTCAGATATTGAAATTATTGTCAACAGAAAACAATTCGTATATCTAGACAGTAAACGTTGAATTGAATATTTGAATAAATGGATCTTCACAAACATTCTGATATCACAATAAATCTGTTCGGCGGAAGGCGAGAAGAACACCTGATAAAGTTTACCGGTGTATAGTCCATTTCCGGGAAGTGCACTGTCTCCAACTCTTCCAGGATGTTTATTTCCACTTCCACTCGTGGAAACCCCTGGAGTGTTTAAGATTGGAGCAAATTACCTTCGGAGGACAATTTCAATTGTAAGAATTAATTACTCATTCGGAAAACACTCTAACATTTCGTTTATCTAAATTTCTGCAAAATTACAACAAAAATCAAAACAAGAGATGATTTTATTATAGATGTTTTATCCTAACTATTCCACGTTTTAAATAAGATAGATACGTGACAGAGAACGAAATAAACGTCAGTAACATCTGTATAATGTAAATAACATTCATGGAATGTAAATATAGAAAGGATTTCAAAATATGAAGTCGTGTTTAAAAAAAAAACAGGGGACATTTTGACATTTAGACTCCATTAAACAATGGAGACATTCACCAGTATTAACTTCCATACTTTTGTGATACACACATGCTCCTATCTCTTCTATGAAATACAAAAAATAATATTGTGTACTTATTTGGAAATACAGTATAGCATTTTAACGAACTCCCTTCGACCATGGACATTTCATCATAGGGCATATTTTCTAAGTGAGACCACTACAAATCTTAAACAATCTAAAAGACTATTCGATAGTCCTTCCAATAAAGACCAGTAAATTAAAACGAGACCGATATTCCGTCATCGAATTGAAATATGAACAACATTTAACGGCAAATAACTCCATTTTCAATTCATCAACACTGTAAATGGAGATAAACATGTCGCTACAGGGTTAAAAGACGTTTAACCGTCGTTTTGTATGGAAACCAACTCAATGTATAATCTTCTCTTAAGGTAGGATTTCCTCACGATACTCTGCACTATTTACCAGTTATATACCATCGATTTAGCTGTATTTGTTCTGAAATCTATACATAATTCTAATTGTTATTCCAGTGGTGAAGAAAAGCTTTCAAATATCTCTTTAATTCCCGTAAAATACACGAAGCATGTATCGGTGATACCTCATTACTTAATTAGTCTAATGATAGAATGGTATTGTCTCAGTAATTAACTGATGGGATAACTTAGTACAAGCGTATCTGCTGAACTCTCCCTAGAGATTCACGAATCTCAAACTCCTGTGTATTTTTAAAAGATTCCCTACATTCAAACACTCTCGTTTACTAGAAGCATTTTATTACTTGCTACAGTAAACTTTTTTTAAATCTGTAGATGTAATTCATCCCTGTGATTTGCACTGTGCTGGAATTTTGTCGAACTGGTGTCGTGACAATTGATGTAGTAATGAATTAGGAACGATTTGTTACCGTATTGTGGCTACCAATGACGCCTTGTTGTCGAATGTTTACTAGATAAACAGGGACAGTCGGTATATACCTGTACAGATGTTTCCCTGTCCGTCTACTGCTATTATTCCTAACGTGTCGTGGTCAGACGTCATCTTTTCTGTCTGAAACCAAAAGCATATGACCCCGCGAGAACATATAATGGGGGCGTGAAACATAGCATCTTTTAATATGTAGTGTTGTATATATTGTTTTCAATGTATAACACGTGAAGCTAAATCGTATTTTATAAACCGGAACTTGATTCGGGACCACCACATTTCTTGCATTATGACACACATTTGGCGATAGGTTCACGGATGAATGGATCAGTCATACATAAACACAGATACAGTCAGACACGTACCGGACTTGAAAACCTATTGATAACTTGTTTTACTATGGAACGTAACTTTAGATACTCACCTGGCTCGTCTTGGCTGTCATTAAGCTATCTTCTATGGTAAAACCTTGCTCCTTCGCAAACGTCGTGGCACCACTTCCTGTAAGCATGTTGTGAGAAGATTTCTCCATCACAGCTCTTGCAACAGAGACCGCTCTTGGAACCCTACACAGAATATTTGTCTTCATTTGAAATTTTCTTAAAGTTTAGCTGCTAAAGGTAGTTTATCATCCATACTATTATTTCGAGAAAGACGCTAATTTCTCCTCGTCCGTCTGATAATATTAATACATATCATCAATGTACGATGTGACGTTGTAAACATAAGAATGTTAAGTCAGGGTACGAGGCGTTCATACTGAGTACCTCCTCAGCAGGGCCAACAGTCTATAATTACCACCTGTCATCAGGGCGCTCGGTTTTGTTGAGTTGCTTTGTCTATTTTTTAATGGCGGAATAACGTTATACACGATACATGTCTTGTTCCAGATGTAACTCCGGGGGTTAGGTTTACTATCGCTCTCTGTACCCCAGAAAGATGTCAGAGTAATATTGAAGGTTCCTTGTGGACAAGACTAGTTTCATCCTTCAAACGGTTCTTCCAAGGTTTTAAAGAGCGATAGTGAGCATAACTCAGGGATTATCGAGAATGGGCATTTTGTTGTATTTCGTATGTATGTTTAGTACCACTTCACAACCAATTATTTTCAAAAGTTTTCTAAAACAAATAACTAAAACAAACGAATTAACATATATGCTGATCACGCTACCCTTGTAAAGCGGTCACAGCCCCAAAACGCATGCGTAACCCTCGTCCTTCCATAAGAGCGGCGTCGAGTTCCAAATGACCAGCCGAGTTCCGAAACCCGCCCACTCCCACAACACAAGGGCCATAGCTCTCATCCACTTCAATTTCTGAAAAAGATCGTTATCTTTTTAACAGAAATTAGGTATCAGTTTAATGACATCATGTTACAACAACTATGTAACATTTACAATAAACTTCAAATTGAAACATTTACTATATAAAATAACGTCCATTTATCATGTACAAGGATATGGTGTTAATTACTATAACACAAAAATCATTCAGACGTTTACAACAACTATTGTAACATTTACAACAACTATTGAAAACATTTATATATAAACACAGAAAACAACTATGAGGTTTCAGTACAACAACTATTGTAACATTTACAACAACTATTGTAACATTTACTATATAAAACACACGACCAGTCAGTACAACAACTATTGTTACATTTACAACAACTATTGTTACATTTACTATATAAAACACACGACCAGTCAGTACAACAACTATTGTAACATTTACAACAACTATTGTAACATTTACTATATAAAACAAACGACCAGTCAGTACAACAACTATTGTTACATTTACTATATAAAACAAACGACCAGTCAGTACAACAACTATTGTGACATTTACAACAACTATTGTAACATTTACAACAACTATTGTAACATTTACTATACAAAACAAACGACCAGTCAGTACAACAACTATTGTTACATTTACTATATAAAACAAACGACCAGTCAGTACAACAACTATTGTAACATTTACTATATAAAACAAACGACCAGTCAGTACAACAACTATTGTAACATTTACAACAACTATTGTAACATTTACTATATAAAACAAACGACCAGTCAGTACAACAACTATTGTAACATTTACAACAACTATTGTAACATTTACTATATAAAACAAACGACCAGTCAGTACAACAACTATTGTAACATTTACAACAACTATTGTAACATTTACAACAACTATTGTAACATTTACAACAACTATTGTAACATTTACAACAACTATTGTAACATTTACAACAACTATTGTAACATTTACTATATAAAACACACGACCAGTCAGTACAACAACTATTGTAACATTTACAACAACTATTGTAACATTTACTATATAAAACAAACGACCAGTCAGTACAACAACTATTGTAACATTTACAACAACTATTGTTACATTTACAACAACTATTGTAACATTTACAACAACTATTGTAACATTTACTATATAAAACAAACGACCAGTCAGTACAACAACTATTGTAACATTTACAACAACTATTGTAACATTTACTATATAAAACAAACGACCAGTCAGTACAACAACTATTGTAACATTTACAAAAATTTTTTTAAATTTTATTATATAAAACAAACGACCAGTCAGTACAACAACTATTGTAACATTTACTATATAAGTCAACAACTATTGTAACATTTAACATTTACAACTATTGTTACATTTACAACAACTATTGTTACATTTACTATATAAAACAAACGACCAGTCAGTACAACTATTGTAACATTTACAACAACTATTGTAACATTTACTATATAAAACACACGACCAGTCAGTACAACAACTATTGTTACATTTACAACAACTATTGTAACATTTACTATATAAAACAAACGACCAGTCAGTACAACAACTATTGTAACATTTACAACAACTATTGTAACATTTACTATATAAAACAAACGACCAGTCAGTACAACAACTATTGTTACATTTTATGTATTTCTACCATACATCAAAGTATGACTGGTTATAAACAACCACATTTAGCTACATTTATTGTCATACAATATTCAAGTACACAAGAGCGACAACATTTGATATAATACCAGCTATCGTGACGATCTCAGTGAGAATTTTTACAGCTTGAAGCCTGACTGATTTGTTGGATTACAGTTATAAGACTGCACGATGTGCGTTCGATAGGACAGATGGACAAAATAATGTAACATTTACGGTTCTATATGGTGCATATGAGTACAGAAACCTCATATCTCATATCTCATGAATGCGAAATTCTAATGAATATCGCGTTGTTTCGATGATTAAATGTCTGATGTTTCCATTTGTGGCAGATATATTTACTTATATTTTTTAATTTAGAAGTTATTGAGTAGATTCCATGACATTCTGAGACAGAGAACAACACCTCACATCATGTTTGGTGTGACAACGTGTGCGGATTTGGTGCGGCAACGTGTGCGGTTTTGGTGCAGCGGCGTGTGTGGCTATTGAACTACAAACTTGATGCAGTAAACCTAATTTGTATATGAAATGTGAACAAAGTCGCAATATCGCTGCACGTATGTGTTAAAGGCTTTATACATAAGTGAAATCTATGTTATAAAAAATCACTGAGATAGCACTGTAACTGAGTCACTGTGCAGTGAACAAGCTAACAGACAACAGACCCATTAGTAAATATCAAGGTTAAAATGAGCTAAAATCTGACGTGTCCCTGTACAGAGCGACCTTGAGAATGTTTACGTCCACATACCGACATGCACCTGTGGGGAGGTAAGTGTCAGTCACGTGCATATCGATGACCAGCACGGCTGATGTATTTGGTAATATGTGGCCAAAATAAATAGCTGAGATGTGAGGTCACAGTACACTCCCATTGACCACCTTAACCAGTCTGGTAAAAACAAAACAGCTCGTGCATAAAAACGTGATCAGTCATAGCTAAGTAATTAATTAATTTCCAAGTGTAAAAGATAAAGGTCATTTCTAACAAATTGTAATTTATGGAAATCTGATAAAATAGTTATAATTGCGATGATATGACAAATTATTCCGCACAATAATCATCATGAACCTTTGGCAAAACTAGTTCCGACAGTAGGATACATATCGCCACTCCATACATTGTGTACCCATGACACTCTCCTTAGCCATCTTCCCTTCGGTCTTTGTTTTCAGAATTCCTCCGCGAACATCTGCAATTTGCCCAACCGTATGGTACTTTTCTTGTTGTAGTTTTGACCAAATATCATCGAACAATCAAATCGATAGCAACGTGAAAACACACAAATATCTTTCACGAATCAGTAACGGATATGCTATTTTTTTTTCTTTTGTGTGTGAATTTCTGTCGTGGATAGGATGGGGTTCTAACTATAGTCCGGGGGTGCTCGGTTCTGAAGTCCATGGTAGTTTAATTGTACATCGTGGAAGAAAGATACGTCTAATGGTAGAACATCACAGGACTGTTACACCACAGACATATATGTCTTTTTTCTCTCTCTTTGCCTAATATTTCTTCCTAGAGTAAATTTCGGTTAGATGAAGTAGGATTCTGTTTACCGTGGGATCTAGGAACTATCACTTTACCATTACACCGGCATGTCATTGTTATGACCGCCATCAACAGGTGGGATAGATTAGATGATGTATGTATTAGCATTAGATGTCAATACGGTTTTCTATCATGCTTGAACTAGTGGTCTATAGATCTCCATGCTACGATATAGACCAGTGGTCAGTTTGATGGATGGGGTACATGCGGACATTCAGACAGGGAAGGGTGGACTCTGACAGACCCGACGTATATTTGATGGTTCCGGCGTACGTACACACGTGGAAAGACAGGTTTACAGTTGTCAGCCTCGGGCTGTCACAGAACCGATCAATCACCGATTAGTGACGTGTTCGATCTATTGATCCGGTTGCCCAAGGTGTGTATCTACAGTATAGCCACGAGGACCTTACCGTTACACACGGAAGCACGGATTTCCCATTGTGAGAGGACCGTTAACATCTTTAGTTTTGTTATCTACTCAGGGACATCGTAAGTGTACATCGTACAATATATCTACAGAAGAAAAAGAAACTTTCGGGAATTAAACTGTGTCGGAAAATTTGAAAATTAACAAGTGATTGATTGGAAATTAATTCAAATTTCTAGCTAAGGTGAGTCTCTATATATGATGATGAAGTGGAGGTATTTCACTACATAACCTACAATCTCTTGTGTGTACAATGATTTTATTTCATTATTTAGTCATTATCACAGATGTAAAAGTAATTAACTCACAGAAAATAATTTTGTCTTTTACGTTCAAATATTTCATTAACATAAAAAATCCCTAATGTACATTAGGTTGTAAGCATACATACGGTTAATGCCCCTTTCAACGGCGTCTGTACAAGACACGTTTTCTTGTAGACACTGGGAGGTGGTAGCAACAGCTGCTCTGGAGAATGTCCAGGTCCCAACGACAAGACAAGGCATCACCTTGATATTTCAAAAACTACAAAACAAATAATTTCTCAACAGTTAGAGGGTTTAATGATGTACTTACCGGTCAAAATATAGCACAGGTCGTTTAGAGCATATATAAGGCTACTGTTGCACAGCGAACATAATTGGGTATTCTATCACAGATTTACATAGATTTACATAGCTATAATGTTATTCATACGTAATAATATTGACTCATTTAAATTGTTTTGTAATAACCTAAATATTTCTTAGTTTAAATCCGCTAAACAAAGAAAACCAGCTTTCAGATTATATATTTTGGGACTGAATAAATCTTGACCTGTCGGACCTTGTACTCTAGTTTGAAGAACATATTTGATTAACATTCTACGACTATTACAATAAATACAAGTGACGAATTTAGCATGTTTTTTAAATACATTCACATAAGACGGAATAAATTATCCTGTTTTGAATGACAAGTATTTGAAATATAGTGATAAATCACTTTACCATAATATAAACTTTTCTTTTCTAGATATTCACATGCAATTACATTGTATGCTAATGAAAAAGCACATGTTATATACATATGAAGTCAATGGAAAAATACATTGTATACAAATTTAGATTATCAAAATTCATATATATATAATGTATGATAATGTGTACACGTAGGTTAAGCCTGTTTAACGAACCATGGTTTAACGAATATTGAAAAAATAGATACAAGTGAAGAATAACACTAACTCATTTGTAATAAATGCATTCAATCATTTTGTCACAATTTATGTACATTAATAACAAATGATATCGCATTTTAAAGTTTAAATTTTATTCCATTCACTAACCCATTAACGGTTGTGTATTTTAACATTTTCATTTTAAACAAGCAACTCAGTTGCATGTGTAGTCTGTATTGTCATCTCTATACTATCTCTCAGGCACAAAGTTATCATACAAAGATATAAACAATATCTGAAATAACAAATAGCAAACATTTCAATATAAGTTGAAACAAAAATGACGTGGAAATGATTGTGGTCATTTATAACGAGGAAGTGGTATCGTTCCTTTTCTCTATGGACGATACTATGAAAATGTTCAACGTGGACTTGTATTTGGATATCCAACAAAGGGACCAATCGGATAGAGAGAACTTATCATGTAAGATTAGTAAGCCACAGGTCCCGGGGTTCGAATCCTAGCGGAGGCAATGGAATATGTGATGGCCTCCAACACATTGTCCCTCATGTACGGAGTCCGTAATAATACTTAGCGTCACATTTACAAGCATCGTTGTAACTAGTTGAAGCTTGAGGAGTATGTAACCCTGATAAAATAGTGGCCACAATATACCACTCGGTTATCGATCGATCGAGAGGGAGAGAAGCAATGAAATGAATAATGACCTTTTTTGACAGTTTAAATTCCTGTCATGCACCTGTACAAAGTTCATTGAAATAGTTAGCATTTTTCTTTGTTTCTTTGTGTGTAAAACTTCACTCATAAAAATGAAGACACCGTGACTTGCACCTTTAAGTGTAAAATGAAAATATTGATTCAATTTCAGGTCAATTTCTGTCTTTAGTTTCAGACTTAGTTTATGAAACAATATTTTATTGACCTATCATCGTCCGTCTAGTGTCACATTGATATCCGATTGACAATAATTGACCTACTCAGCTTGATAGTAGATTTTTACCTAATGCTATTGAATCATCGAACTACAAATTGACTATAACATTGAAGTTCCACCTACTATTTAGACTCGCATGTTGCTGATTTGAAACTGTTTTTCTCACTTCCGGGTTAGAGTTATCTCCCTTCTAAGAAATCGACAGTGAGCGGAAATGAACTTGATTATTGACAGGATTAAGACGATAAAAGAAATGTAATCCATTACTATGCTGTAATGTCGCCAGAAAGGAATGGCTTGCTGCTTTCAAATGTGTGAGTAAATACAACAATAACTTTTTCATACCTGTTTATTACCGTCGGTACTTCAAGATGACCTGTAGAGATGACCAGATGGTTGATAACAGTAGCTAGGCTAAATTGATTATGAGAGCGTCGATCGGTCCTGTCAGGTGCGTGGTAACATGTACATAGGCGACACAAGGTTCGCTGATAGTTTCCATAGATATGATTGAGTGTGTCATGAAATACGCGTACGACTGTAAGTATTTCATTGTCAATATAAATATTTATTACAGGAGTTAACCATGCACTGTTCACGTTAGGAACGTAAAAGAAATTCACGTGTAAGAATTGTATCGATAGGACTTCTCCGAGGTATAAAAACAATCCTCACAGCTCAGGCACATTGGTGTACGAATACGTTTTGGTAGTCATTGATGGATTTTTTTTCTAATAATTCAAAAATATATTGTGATTCACGGACTTCTGTGATGTAGCTATCGGTTATAAACAAATAAAAAAAATGATTGGATTCTCGATATATCATCTTGACATCAGTTTCAGAACATTATTTATTATGGAGCAGCAATCGGCATGTGAATGCTGTAAATGCCACACATCCAGAACAGAAAAAATACTGTGATCAAATCCATTCACCAGAAAATGTTATGGGTATATATATTATTGGCAAATTGGTGAACTTTTATTAATTCACATTTTGACATGTCAAACAACCTCCCAGTTCTTATAAATTTACTTATCAATTCATCCTCAGATGAAAGTGTTTTGTTGTTATCTGTCAAATACATCAAAAAAGGCCATTTAAGAAAGATAGAACCAAACAATAAAAATCATAATTTCACTCTATAGAAAAGTTACACATATAAAAAACAGATATCCACCATTTCCACACCATCATTATATATATATATATATATTTTTATTAAAATGTTATTCCCATTCAAATGATGATTTTATCTCATATATATATAAATGGCTAACTCAAGTATCTCTGTGATTTAGCAATGTCATCAGAAACAGAGGTACAGTCACTATTTCGATACACATGACGGTCATTTCAGGTGAGAAAATTTGAAGTTATATCAATGGATATCAGTCAGGTCTTCAAAGAAATCTTAAAATAGGAACACATTTCAATTGATTTACTTTGTTTGTTTCAATTGTATTGACCTAGCATAGCTATCGAGATTGTTAAGGAGTCGGAAACAAATGTGCCATGGATACTACACAATGTAACAAACAGAAAGTCCTATTTTACTTTTAGAATATACTCGCCTATATACACCAACTGCACTGTAGCTTCTGGTTCTAGAATTATCATCATAAATTTTGTGCAGCACAATAAATGACAAACACAAGTGGTATTTGGTTTCTCATTTTATAAGAACATATTTCAGATTCAGTAATTTTTGTGATTTTTCAGGTAGATCCAGATTTTTTCTTATGAATACAGTACTTTCTGATTAACTTTATCAAATGACATTCATCAGAAATTCAAAAAAAAGTATATAATGGTATATACAGTGTAAAAGCCTAATTCTTTATTTTGGTAAAATTATAAATTTATAAAATGACCACAACATCACACAGAATGTTGATGTCCACATAGTTAATCTCCAGTTATTACAGAGAGATATTATACTTATAACACCTGCCACTATGTGGATCAATAGAGATTGATATTGTATGTCTTGTATGGAGATAAAAGCATAGCACCATGTGGATTGAAACATTTATTGAGATGTAACTTCAGAAGATATAAACATATTTATCCTGCAACTGACACTGCCAATGTCTGAATACACCTGCCACATATATTTTTGCTGTGATGGAAAATAGCTGTATTTAAGCACATGCTTTAATTCAACAAAATTGCTTTCTGAAATTACTTAATAACAATAAAAATATTTGTTGAAATAAGCGATATTGTAATAAACAAGATTAATTATGAAAATTCATAAAATCATATTTGTTACAGTTTGAAACTATATTTTTATGCTGAGCATGTATGTCGTCAGGCAAAATTCAGCGTCAATGTCAGATTAACAAAGATTTAACATCAAAACTGTTTAAGTCTCAAATTAGGATCAAAAGACAAAAATGGCTCATCACCTTTGTCTTTCTTCACCCTCGCCAAAATACAGTTTATATTTTAAGGCATTGGCCATGTATTCTCTATATATGTAGCACCATGAGGATGGATTGAGATATAACAAGAGAAAAGAGAAACCTAGTACTTTGTGGATTGTTGAAGATGAGAAGATAAATGTCCTTAATATCGTGATAAAATAGGTTGACATTCTATTTACCACAGGATGGATTGAGAAATAACTGAAGTAGGCTTCCTTGAATTTTTAAAAGTGAAGTTTGAGCTGAGAGCTCTTTAGTTTGATGACTACTGTGTACACTGATGGTATAGCTGGAGCTAATAGTTGTAAATCAGTGGCACACAGGGGATTACTGTAGACCTGACTAGAAGCAAAATGGAAATGGTTGAATATGACGTAACATAAACAAATGAATGGTTGGAGATTTACATAGCAGCATTATGGAGTGCTGATGAATGGCTGACATTATTATAAGTCATTCCTTTTGGATAATGACCTGGCATGATGTACACAGTACAGCTAGTCAGTCAGCACAAGGAAACTAGGATCCTATTTAAGCTTATTATACTGACTGAGCATGATTCACTGTCACAAAAATCCATTTTGTTACACCAGCTTGTGTTAGACATGTTACCTGTATATTGATTCAGATTATTAACAAAGATCACCTGGACATGTAATAGATATATACAGAATTAATAAGTGTCACAGCTACTGGTCCTCTATATACCAAACTAATCACTTCTCAGAGATGTGACATAAAAAATCCCAAGTGTTAATCTAACTTTCCTAGCAACAATTTAACTGTTTTGAGTTTTCACCAATTAGAAGAAAATTAATTTAATCTCATTTCCATGGCTTTACATCCCAACCGGAAGGATTACACCTTAAATGGACCCCATTGGAAATAAGCCTATTTTATAGGCTTTATGGGTAATCCAAGGCCAAAGGCATTTTCATCTGGTTTTATCAAATTTCTCTCTTTTTTATTGATATTTCTAAATTTTCAACTATTTTACTTAGAAAATTTGCAAGTGTAATTTAATTTCTGCGATACTAGTTTAAACTGTGATATTTTAAGGTATGTGAAATTCTTCTGTGATATCTTATATTTTATAATTAATAATTTTAAGAAATCCACAATAATTTATTACTGATTTTAATTGTTATGGAATTGCTTATGTAATATTTGTAATGTGTAATTTTATTATGCCTTTGCCTGAATAAACAATAATAATAATAATGATTTGTAGTCATTGCATTTAAATTCATTTAGCTTATTTTACTGTCTGATGCAGAGGAAGTGAATGTCAAACAAGCTGATTTTCCATCAAATCTTTTCTACATTTGTTTTGTGTTCACTAATTTGGTATCTACTGTCAAATAAGTCCAACATGATAGTACGTGTACTTCCCAAATCTTTGTTTAACATTAGTTGATTTCATGTGATAAGAAGAAAGTTAAATTGTTTTCTGTTAATTATCATATGTTTTACTTATTTGGCTAAATATGTGTAATTAAATATGTATTTTTCACTCCTGTTTTATAGTATAGTATAGTGTCATTTATATCTAATAAACAGTCATTAAATATGTTATACAAGCATACAGTGTGGGTTAGTAATTACATGTTTTTAAACTGACAACTATTTAAAATTTAAAATGGAGCTCATGATTTGGATGATAATTATGTGATAAGTGGTCAGAGAGTGGACACTGGTCAATCTCAGACCTCACTCGAAGTTGTTTCCAGTAATTAGGTAGTAAAGATATAAAACCATAGTAACAAGTTTTGTCCATGTTAAGGCATGTATACATGTATGTACATCATTTATTTCCAATCTTATAAGCTGATTTTAAAGTCAGGTGCATACCAACCACAAAATTAATTTTGAAGTGTAAATACATGTTGTTATTTATGAACTTTTCTAAAGGCGTGCCAACCCAATTAGTATGTGGTATATCGTGTAACTATGTTTTCCTTAATTCTCACTCTCAGTAAAACTTATTACATGACAAGCATGCTCTATAAAGTTATACACATCAGTTGTTTTAAAGTTTATTAATTTCTAACTTTTTTTTTTTTACCAGTAACTGATTATATATAGAGATGTATTAATAACTATGCATTGTGTCGTTTCAGGCCTGGTTCCCAGAGACACAAGTATTTGTAATTGGAGTGACGTGTGATAGCACTACTAGGCCAGAGTCACATGACTACAGACATGCTTAACATAGTGTTTGTTATATAATACACCTGCTGAACATTATATATCACAAAGATTGAAAGTTTGATGTAACATACCAAAGTCAACATGTCGACAGTATTGTTTCTGATGTTGGTGAAGCTTGGTGTTTTCACACTGGCTTCAGCTCAGTCAGTATTACCTACCCAAGGAGATTCAGTGATGGACTTAAGGATGAAAAATGTTTCTGTTCACAAGGTAGGTTATATCAAATCGTGATGTTAGCTTGAAAACAGGATGAACTTCCTGCACTTATTTACTTGTTTTATTGTGTTTCAGGATAGGGTTTAGGTAGACAGCACAATCAAATGTAAACAAACACTGCTTATGTAGAAGTTCTAGTGCAGTCTGCAGCATCAAATATGAGATGTTTTGTAAACAAAATATGTTGTATTGATGCCTGCCTGTTTGACATATACATACTATATCATAAAAACCTGCAGAAAAATCAATTAATGAATAAAAAAAGACATAGACAGGTGTATATATATCAGATGTTTTAGATATACAATGTATTACATCTTTATCAAATAGAATAACACACATACCAGTTACAGTATGTACATACTAATCAACATTAAGATTGGCATACCATTTAATGGGAGGACAATAACACATTGTTTCATGATTCGCCAAAGGCTGCATATCACAGCTGTTACCAGAATATGAACAACAAGTTTAAAGAAATGTTTCCTGAGTTGAATATTCCTCCATTAGGTTTCAAGCATCCTTCTTTGGACATGAGATGACAGTGTATGATTGTTGTTGTTAAATGTGAAATGATCCTAACCTTATTATAATTGTTGTTGTTAAATGTGAAATGATCCTAACCTTATTATAATTGTTGTTGTTAAATGTGAAATGATCCTAACCTTATTATAATTGTTGTTGTTAAATGTGAAATGATCCTAACCTTATTATGATAATCACAAATGTTTTCATTGGTTATGATTTTTGTATGTCACTTTTTGAAATTGTGTGGTATTCTAAATTGACAAAACAGTGTGGCAGTGTTTTGCTGTATTTGGCCGGTTTGCAGATTTAACTGGTTAGTGACTTTCACTGTAATGTTAACCTTTGACCTATATACCATGTACATGTACTATGTTTATTTGGTATGTGTATTACATTTTTATCTGCCCATCACTGCTGTTTGTTCTTTGATTTCGGAAATAGTGTCATGATAATTTGCCATTATCATTATATTTGGCCAACTGTGTGATGACTGGGGTGAAAGGTGAATAGCTTTGTTCAGTTGAATGTCTTTGACCCATCTTCAAGATGACATGTGAAAAATGATGATAAAAAAGGTCGGGATCATGATAAATTGTCCCAAGTACTTTTATGTAAAGGATTATCTATTCTGTTTTAAACAAAATAGGAATGAAATTGACCCAATTTCATGGTAATGAAGTCTGTAAACATTTTTTTAAGATAGCAAGACAGATGATAAATATTATAATATGTGTGAATCTTATGGTCTTTCTGTAAGATGTTTTTTAGATTCTTTCAACAAAAATCATTGTTGACTAAATATGACTCTCATTATATTTCACAGAAATAATAAATTGAAAAGTGGAATAATAAATTAATGATACAAATCCATTTTGTTTTGGTATGGTCAATCAATACAGAGACTGTTTTACATAATGACATTTTTAGACATTAACAGGCAACAGATGTATATTGGTCCATCATACAATTAGTTACCAATGGCTTGCAATCTTGCTCATCTCCATGACAACCAAATACCATAAGTGGAGTGCTTCCAGAAACCATTTTCAGGTTATGAGTGGTCAACATCATACTTAACAATTGTTTACTATCAGCGACCTTGAAATAGTTTTCCTTAACTAATTCCTGGAATGTGTCCTAGTTATAAACATGTGAATTTCCATAATTGTGTTGACAATGTTGTTAAATAAAAGTGACCTTCTGCATAATCATCTTTTAGAATTAAAACTGTCCTGGTTGGAAGGTCAGTCTGCCATTTGTATATTGTATTGTTTTAATTATGAAAACTGAATTAACTTGACAGTATATGTAAGACTGTTACAGTCTGATAACTACCTGTTATAACATACACTAAAGTATGTGACAATCAATATTCAGCTACATTGATAAATATCAACAGCTGATTGAATGTCGCACAAGCTGACATCCCCAATAGCGAATATTCCTTCACTAATATATGTATAAAACATTTACAGGTACACATATATGAAAATCTGAAGCAAAGAATTAAGTATGTTTTATAAATACATTTTTCAAATATGGTGAAACATTTTTGTCTCAGCAACCAAATTTTGCTCTTATTTTTATACATAATTTTATAGATGCTGATTGTGGAATGTGAAATTCTTTTTGTGGAATGTCAGATCTTTGATTGTGGAAAGTCAGATCTTTGATTGTGGAATGTGAAATTCTTTTTGTGGAATGTGAGATGCTGGTTTTGGAATGTCAAATATTTTATTGTGGAATGTAAGATCTTTGATTGTGGGATGTTAAATATTTGATTGTGGAATGTTGTATACTGATTTTGGAATGTTATATATTTCATTGTGGAATGTGAGATGCTGGTTGTGGAATGTGAGATGCTGGTTGTGGGATGTTAAATCTTTTATTGTGGAATGTGAGATCCTAATTGTGGAATGTGAGATCCTAATTGTGGAATGTGTGATCCTAATTGTGGAATGTGAGATCCTAATTGTGGAATGTGAGATCCTAATTGTGGAATGTGAGATCCTAATTGTGAATGTGAGATCCTAATTGTGGAATTTTAGATATTTGATTGTGGAATTTGATATGGAATTCTGGTGGTGTTATGTTATTGTATTTGATGTGTGTTAGATAGGTTACAAGCTTAATCATACACATATTTTATTCAGGAGTAACACACATACAAAGTAAAATAAAATTGAATTCTGTGAGAACTCAGTGTTTGATAACAACAATATCAGTTCCAAACTTAGTCTATCTGCTAATGCTGGTACAAATTTGAGAAAAAGACACATTCCTTCTCAGTCTGGTAATTCACTGTAGTAAAATACATACAAAAGTTTCACACAAGCTTCGACAATAAATTTTGTTCCTGTGTTGATACAAAGTCTTATTTGCATAGCAGTGCTGTCCTGATTTATACAATCTTAGTATGGTAATATATTATACAAACTACAGGTGTTAGAAGATATAAGAATATCACAGGTTATTGCTTGACAAGCACTATAGCCTTTAAACAAATCTTACTAGTTATTTTCACAATATAATGAATGTATTTCTGTAAATTGGAACAGATTCAGTATATATATATACAATTATACCATTAACATTTACCTCTGATACATTAGTCTTATTTCTTTGTTTAATAAACTATTCACTTGAGAATGATTTAGGGAAAAAAACGATAAATGTAGGACATTTTTTTTTGGCGGTATCAGTACATATATATACATTTCGTCAATTAGAGTTTCTCTACATTATGTTATAAGATAGGTACATCCACAACATATGTGTATGATAAAAAGTATTATACAGTAGGGATTTACTGCCAAATCTAATGTGTATCAATGTGCAGCCTTTGATAGCGATAATTAGGGCTTGCGTTCTTTAAACCTTGTTATGTATGTGGTTGTGTATCCTCAGTTTTTGTGAAACTCATGTTATTGCTGAGTTACTGCTGTGAAAATAAAACAAAGAAAATTTATGTAAAGTCCCAACACATTTACAACAGCATGAAATTGTAATCTTTCTATATAAAGTTGTTGAAAAATGAATTAAAATTTTTATCACTACAAATTCCTTCTTGTGATAAGGAACATTTTGAGTACCAGTACATGGTCAGTGTTTGACCACAGGGTCCATAAGCTACCAAACATTGTATCATTGTATATTTATGTTTTTTTTTAATTTTCAGGATGACCAGTACATATGTACAAGTTACAGAATGCCCGTCAATGAATCCTTTATTGGTAAGATTCCTTCCCCAAACAATTCAGACAACATATCTATACCCCTGTGTTGCTTCTTATGGAACTCCCTGTGTAATTTCACAATAGTTTAACAGACATAATGTGCCTTCATATTTACTTAATCACCAGCATCATCTAACATATCTATACCCCTGTGTTGCTTTTTATAGAACTCCCTGTGTAATTTCACAATACTTTAACAGATATAATGTGCCTTCATATTTACTTAATCACCAGCATCATTCAAATCATCTGGTGACATACTATACAGACTTATTGAAAAGGTTACCATGGGTCATTGTTTATGATGTCATTGCTAGGGTTCTAACCCAGGACCTCTGACTTATTAGTTATAAGACTAGCTCAACGGATCGCGGTAAGGAGAAGATCTCTCTTGACTCTAGATGAATGGTTTGGAACTAGTATTTACCAGGATTACAATACTCCCAATGACTTGCCTTTAAAATAAGTCACAGTGATGTTTAGGAATAGAATGCTATTATCTATCAATTATCCCTAAATCCTTTCATGGGTATAATTATAATTAAGACAGGTAGTTTTCTATTTCAAATTTTCCTTCATAATGGTATATCTAGGAATAATACCCCTCATATGTAGAAGTTACATTATTGTATCGTACACAGACTTAATGTTGAGGTATGAAGGAGAATGCCATACTGTTTGTATTACATGTACACTGTTACCCTGGTAATGTAAACACAGCTCTAAATAGCCTACAGCGTTCAGCCAGACACAGATACCACCTGAAGCATTGGTTACAATTATACAGGTACTTCCTGTTGACTTTACTGTCAACCTCACTCCAAGTTTTGGCATAACCTGTCATCAGAAATTATATGTGTATGATAGCTATGAGCCTAGCTAGTGTCACTACGTTATTATGGCAGTGTTTTTCTTGTCCTGAATGACAATCTGTGTTTGACAACTAATGTCTGAATTTTTATGATAAATTATAGTGTTAATTACTGTTTTATTGTTGTTGTTTACAGTAACTCATTTACATAAAACCACAATAAACCCGTAGATGTTTTCTATATTCAAGCTTTTTTTAAAGTCCTACTTCACCTGTAGGAATGATTGAATGTTGTTTGATTTTTGTCCGAAGCCTTGTTTCAAAATGGGATCTCACTCCATCGTGTGCCATCTGCGGTGCGTAATCTAGTGACATTTTAAACTTCTCAAGTTCCACCAGTTTGATTGAGCTCCAACTTGCATGAAATGATCCTAAGATGGTCCTGACCAAGCTTTGTTATTTTACGGGTATGTCTGAAATCCAAGATGGCTGCCATTGTTGATGTCATTGAGCTAAAAAATTTGAAAGGTTGCCAACAAAGTGTTGTTATTTTTCGACTTTGTCAAAACTTTGACACAGCAGCCAGGGAGGTCACTTCATAATATGATTGTGCAATCATGGTTTTCCTATACAACACCTGTTTCAAACTTCTTCTCAAGTTTCACCTGTTTGATTTAGCTCTAACTTTACTGTTAGAAAATAGGTAACACTTGTTACAGTTACCTACTCCTTACCAAAACTACCATCTGCATCATGGAAAATAGCTACTTAGTAAGATTTCATTTAAAGTAGAAAAAATAACCCTTCTCCCTGCTGAAAGTTTTTGTAGTCAGATGACTGTTAAGGCCTGTGGGTCTCTTGTTTTCTATAGAAATGCTTTGATATGGAACCTTTTGTTGTAAATCGTGCTTGATTAAATGGAAATCAGCTGTATAGATAGTGGGTCTCTGCCCCACTGTGGACGAGAGGGATAGGATCTAAAGGGGTAATAGAGATTTTTTTTAAAATCCCTTTTTCTATATGAATATTATCCCAATTTGAATTGAAGCATACTTAAATGAAGGGGATTCAATTTGTATAAATGATTGGTCTTGACCCCTTGGATGTTCAGATTTCTATAAAAATTTCATCATCATTTTAAATATAATCCTGTTCTGTATATTTATCTTCCCTACAGTCCAATTTAAGCCTCTTGCAAATGCCAACACAGCTCACCACATTCTGTTGTTTGGATGTTCGGAGCCCTACAACACTGAAGAGGAAGGTGCATGGTGGGTAATCACTCTACTGAACCTAGGTCATGTAAATGTTTATATACTAACTGTTAGTACACAAGGCAAACACTCTAAACCTAGGTCATGTAAATGTTTGTATACTAACTGTTAATACACAAGACAAACACTCTAAACCTAGGTCATGTAAATGTTTGTATACTAACTGTTAATACACAAGACAAACACTCTAAACCTGGTTCATGTTAATGTTTGTATACTAACTGTTAGTGCACAAGGCAGACACTCTAAACCTGGGTCATGTTAATGTTTGAATACTAACTGTTAGTGCACAAGGCAGACACTCTAAACCTGTGTCATATTAATGTTTGTATAATAACTGTTAGTGCACAAGGAAGACACTCTATACCGGGGTCATGTTAATGTTTGTATACTAACTGTTAGTGCACAAAGTCAACACTTTAAACCTACGTCATGTAAATGTTTGTATAATAACTGTTAGTACACAAGGTCAGCACTTGAAACCTAGGTCGTGTAAATGTTTGTATACTAACTGTTAGTACACAAGGTCAACACTTGAAACCTAGGTCATATAAATGTTTGTATACTATATAGCTACTTGTTTGTACATAACCTTGACACTATTTTGTTTATTTATACTGATTGTTAGTACAATTAGGCAAACATTCCAGTCTCTTAAAACATTTTATTTTAGAACTGTATCATCTTTCATTATTTGATTAAAAGATAAATCAGCTTGATTATAAATTTAAATTGTCACATTTTTAAAGTCTGAAGTGTTCTTTCATTTTTTCTGATATCAGAAATACTGTGATATTCAACAGAGCTTCATCAAACTTTAACTCATTGTCACTCTTCATTATGTACACTCAGAGACATATATATGTGTTATGTATGTCTCTGGTACAGTGTAGAGGTCTATTTAGAAGTACCTCATACTGTGAAGCAAAGTAAACAAAATATCTCTTAGTCAGACATGTCTTTGGTCAGTCTAACCCTATAGGGCGTCTAGATTAATGGGTATCAATGATTATATATCAATAACAATGCGTTACTATTGTACACCACTATTAGGGTCACAATTATCAAAGGAGTTAGTCCCTAATTTATCAGGTAATTGTATTACCTAATACCATTAATTTGTCCACAGGAACTGTCGTATGATCTGTCGTGGTGAAGAACAGATTCTGTTTGCTTGGGCCAGGAATGCCCCGGAGCTGGTTCTCCCCAAAGGTCTGTGCTGCATTAGAAAAACTATCAATCAAATGTCATCAGAAAATAGGATTGTTAATATAAATATTTGTATAGCATCATGTGCTTATTAATCTCTTTCACTTATTACATAAGTGTCATCAGAGACAGAATTTAAGGCAAATTTAGAATATTTAGCATGTCACAAAGCTGTTATGCTTAAAAGTGTTTCATCTTACACATGACATGTATATAGTTGTGTCAGACAAAAGAAGAGAATAGTAATTTAAATAAACGTCAGAATTAAAGGAACGTGGTTTGAAAATGATTAACCATGAATGTTATTTAATTTTAACTTCTTAAATTTTGAAATGTTAAATTGGGTAGGATTGTATTTTAACTTCACTTGTTATAACTGAATTACACTTTAACTAGATGTTGTACTATAATTTAAATTATTGATGAACAGTTAAAGTTCAATTTTGTACAGAAAAAAACATTAATTATTAAACTGCATCATTTTCATTGACAATTTGGCTTTAATTCATTTTAGTTTTAAGAAATAAATCAGTCTTTACTATAAAGTCATTTAAAATAGGAATGTCAGTTTTAATTCAGTTAAAAGATTTCTGAATATATAAGTTTTTGTCTTAGCATATTTTGTGATCTCATTTCTTAACAAGCGAAGTAAGTTTAACTATTAGTGTACATCGTGTAAATAACAGCACATAATTATGTAACTGTTTCCTTTCACTCTACAGATGTCGGTTTCAAAGTGGGAGGAGCTTCTAAGGTCAAGTACATTGTTGTACAGATACACTATGCCAAAGCCCTGCCTTGTAAGTTACGTTTTCTTTTAAACTAAGTCAGTTTTTAGCATGAGGTCTGACAATGGCCATCATTGTCCCTCAGTAAAGGTTGATATTCTACACATCAGACAAGTCATCTTGCCATTCATTGTAGGGCAAAGGGCTCAATTTTTTTTTTTTAAAGGATTCATAAAAAACAATAGGCTCAGATTCCTGTGGTCAGATGACACACTGATAGAACCTTTCACCTGGTAGAAAACCTGGGTTTGATTCTACAATGAGATATGAAAAGATATATGATCACCTGCTCAATCATGGAGATTTTCCCTTTGTACTGTGGTGTCCACCTGGAAAAAGACTCCTGTCAACATTACATCTGAGCCAAGTGATTTACATGTCAAGTTGAGTTAACTTGTCTCACAATTGTTGTCATATGTATAACTTTAAGGTCACAAGTTTTCATATATGGTCAATGAATAAGTTTAAGGTCATATGTTTCAAACATAGTCAGTAAATAAATTTAAAGGTCACAAGTTTCAAATATGGTCATTAACCTCTAATCAACCCCTACAGGAATGAAGGGTTCAGACCTTGACCTTGATATTGGGTTACTGGTTAAATAGAGTGTTACTATATCTAGTGATGTAGATTTGTCATACTCTTACAATTTTTAGGATTGGTTGTGGGAATTCAGTATTACCCATGTCTGTTTGTTGTGTCTTGTTAGGAATGTATGTCAAAGCTTCAGAACCAATATTGTAACATCAAATTCTACACCTGACCTTGTTATGAATGACGTAAGATTGTGATTTAGACATTTGGTAGTTTATCTAGTAAAATTGTACTCTAAAGAGCATGAACCATATACATTTATCTATCTGTGGGATGATGCATTTTTTTTCTTTTTGTTGTAAGGTTTTGATCAAAATCTTTTTGATGTGTTTATTTCAGCTTTTCGACCAACAGACCAGTCAGGAATTCGACTTTACATGACACAAAAACGGTCTGTATTAATTTGGATTTTTCTATAATCTTTGTCTAATCTGTTTATTGGTCAAATCTTTCTGTTGTAATATGTTAATCAGGGAAACATTTCTCCATCTGGACCTTTTGTAAATTAAGCAAAAATAAAATGGTAGCTAGAGTTTTAAGGTAAAGTTAAAGTTAGCTGTTAATCTATTGATCTGTAAACAGCAGAAGCTGAACTGGAGATAGATTTTATATTATTAGGAATAAATTATTAAAGTATTTTGTATCTACTTTAATACCTTGAATATCTTCTGTATAGAATGTTGCATGTAAACTTGTTAGATGTAAACTTGCCTTGTTACAGATTACATGCCAGTACTTTGATTCTGTACTAAACACTCTCTTTATTTTGTTGTATTCAGACAAAGATATGAGGCTGGGATATTTCTGCTGTTGGCTTACTCTCTCACCATTCCCCCTAATACACCAAGTATGTATCAGACATCTTTCCCCCTAATACACCAAGTATGTATCAGACATCTTTCCCCCTAATACACCAAGTATGTATCAGACATCTTTCCCCCTAATACACACATCTTTCCCCCTAATACACCAAGTATGTATCAGACATCTTTCCCCCTAATACACACAGTATGTATCAGACATCTTTCCCCCTAATACACACAGTATGTATCAGACACTTACTATCAGATCTAAATACCCTGTATGACATCGTCAGTGATTTTTGCTATTTTGGCTGAAAGACTTCACAGTGAACATAAGTTAGGCAATCAAGAGTAACTTGCCCTTAGTTGGGTGTGTTGTACAGAGAAATGATGATGACTTTTGACAGTTTATAAATGTTACGGTTTTATTTATACCAATAACTACCCTGTACCAATACATTGGTTCTAATGTTCTCTGTCAGCTGTGACACAATACGTGGTAGTGTCCCGTAACATGATAAACAATTTAATCTTCATCTCAGTAAAATTGTATCAATACTGTTATATATGACCGTCAGTTGTCAATTCTTGTCATTTATTTCTTAAAACTTTGCTCTAAATTTCAGAAACCAGTGCAGACATTTCCTGCAGTTTCACAGCCTCTGGGAATATATATCCATTTGGATTCCGAGCTCATTCTCATAGTCTGGGTAAATAACACACTGCATGTTTAGAGTGGTGTAGGTGTAGGTGAAAATATAACTTTTTTTTTTTAAATGTTTTGGATTTCACTGTTATACATCAAATTATATTTGATTAGATTACTTTTGGATTTAAAAAAACCCACATACATATATATATCTTGTGTTTGTGTGTTAAATGCATGGATTAGGCATTGAGGTTTTTGTATCCTTTTGGTAATAAGTTTCTGAAATTCTAGTGTAAAAATTTTTGTCAGACTTGACACTGTTGAGCCTGGCAATGTAAAATGTTTTGTCAGACTTGACACTGTTGAACCTGGCAATGTAAAATGTTTTGTCAGACTTGACACTGTTGAGTCTGGCAATGTAAAATGTTTTGTCAGACTTGACACTGTTGAGCCTGGCAATGTAAAATGTTTTGTCAGACTTGACACTGTTGAGCCTGGCAATGTAAAATGTTTTGTCAGACTTGACACTGTTGAGCCTGGCAATGTAAAATGTTTTGTCAGACTTGACACTGTTGAGCCTGGCAATGTAAAATTTTTTGTCAGACTTGACACTGTTGAGCCTGGCAATGTAAAATGTTTTGTCAGACTTGACACAATGTAAAATGTTGAGCCTGGCAATGTAAAATTTTTTGTCAGACTTGACACTGTTGAACCTGGCCATGTAAAATTTTTTGTCAGACTTGACACTGGTGAGTCTGGCAATGTAAAATGTTTTGTCAGACTTGACACTGTTGAGCACTGTTGGCAATGTAAAATGTTTTGTCAGACTTGACACTGTTGAGCCTGGCAATGTAAAATGTGACAAGCCTGGCAATGTTTTGTCAGACTTGACACTGTTGAGCCTGGCAATGTAAAATGTTTTGTCAGACTTGACACTGTTGAGCCTGGCAATGTAAAATGTTTTGTCAGACTTGACACTGTTGAGCCTGGCAATGTAAAAGTGGTTTGTCAGACTTGACACTGTTGAGCCTGTTTTGCAATGACACTGTTGAGCCTGGCAATGTAAAATGTTTTGTCAGACTTGACACTGTTGAGCCTGGCAATGTAAAATTTTTTGTCAGACTTGACACTGTTGAGCCTGGCAATGTAAAATGTTTTGTCAGACTTGACACTGTTGAGTCTTGCAATGTAAAATTTTTTGTCAGACTTGACACTGTTGAGCCTGGCAATGTAAAATGTTTTGTCAGACTTGACACTGTTGAGCAACTTGACACTGTTGAGCCTGGCAATGAAGAAATTTTTTGTCAGACTTGACACTGTTGAGCCTGGCAATGTAAAATGTTTTGTCAGACTTGACACTGTTGAACCTGGCAATGTAAAATGTTTTGTCAGACTTGACACTGTTGAGCCTGGCAATGAAGAAATTTTTTGTCAGACTTGACACTGTTGAGCCTGGCAATGTAAAATGTTTTGTCAGACTTGACACTGTTGAGCCTGGCAATGTAAAATTTTTTGTCAGACTTGACACTGTTGAGCCTGGCAATGTAAAATGTTTTGTCAGACTTGACACTGTTGAGCCTGGCAATGTAAAATGTTTTGTCAGACTTGACACTGTTGAGCCTGGCAATGTAAAATTTTTTGTCAGACTTGACACTGTTGAGCCTGGCAATGAAGAAATTTTTTGTCAGACTTGACACTGTTGAGCCTGGCAATGAAGAAATTTTTTGTCAGACTTGACACTGTTGAGCCTGGCAATGTAAAATTTTTTGTCAGACTTGACACTGTTGAGCCTGGCAATGTAAAATGTTTTGTCAGACTTGACACTGTTGAGCCTGGCAATGTAAAATTTTTTGTCAGACTTGACACTGTTGAGCCTGGCAATGAAGAAATTTTTTGTCAGACTTGACACTGTTGAGTCTGACAATCATTATTCTGCTTAGGATCTTGAGTTTTATTTAATGTTTTTCAACGACTCATAAATGAAAAATAAATTGATTTTAATTAACATTTTAGTTGGATTTCAACATTTCATAAATTTTATTAATAATTCAAAATATCATCACAGTCAGTATGATAAAATTAATCATAACCTGTCCCTTTTATTTAGGACGTGTCATCACTGGTTACCATGTTAACCAGTCCAATGATTATCATATGATTGGTAAGGGAAATCCACAATGGCCACAGGTACGTGTATGTTATGCTACATGATATGATGTTTGTCTGTAAGCTGAGTCTTTTTAAGCCAATCGCAAGACATTTCTGTAACTAATATAGAATAAGAGGGAAGTTCCTGCTGACTTCAGTTCAAACACTTAACACCAGTATTGCAAAGTCTGACCCACGAGGGTAGTGAAGAGATTTTGAGTAGATGACGTGGGCTTTCTGACTGGTTTTCACATGGAAATCTATTCATTATCTACACCAGATTTAAAAGATTTTGTTTTGCAATTTGGACAGTTTTCATTCAACAGTATGTGAATCTAGGAACCCAGTTGACAGATTTCATTAAGCAGTTAGAAATGAAATTCAAAGTAATAATATGACTGACAGACTTTAGTAAGTAAAATATATCAATATCTTACATAGGAAAATCTGTTCCCTCATAAACTTTATGTGTATATTATAAACATTTTACATATTATCTGGAAAGTACCATGTTATTTTACCAAACAATAAGAGTCATTGCTCAGTTAATCAGATTATGGCTTTTACATCCAAACTACTAACTTATATATTTCATCAATTTCAGTTCAGCAGTAGTAATGTTAATGTCCATTTTTACATTCCAGTCGTTTTATCCGGTGACAGAAAAAATCACAGTAAAGCCAGGCGATAAGCTGGTAAGATCATCACACTTAGTCTAAACAGTGTTTTTGTATTTTAAAAATGCTATACAATAATTATTCTTTGTTACATTGTATATGAAGAATTAGGATACAGGTTGAAAGTCAATATTAAATCCTCTCCCAGGAGAGATGTTGGATATTACTAGAGAATAACAGGGCGCCCAGCTGGTCCTATCTGTTATGTGAAGAACATTTTGCAGTGCAAGGTATCCAGAAAACGTAAAAGAGTTACGTCCCTTTGATATTCTGATATCCACAGTCTACCTGAGGGGGCCATGTTTAGAAGGAATCACCAATTAGATATTTAATTTGACTTTGTGTTTAAATGTTCTACAACTGTTACAGGTGGGAAGATGTACATACAACTCAACAGGGAGACAAAGAAATACCTTAATAGGGTAAATGTCCCATACCTAGGGTGAAACAGATAAGTATCACCCTTGTCTTTGATTACTATTGTGTTACAATCAGAGTATGTTAATTATATAATGTTAAATACATTTTAACTCTTTCTTAGTATTGTTTTGGTTAATATTATTCATACTAAAATTGACTAAAGAATATACTAACATGTTTTGTCACTCCTTGAGAATATAGTTTGAAATTCAGTAATGATAAAGCTGTTCTAGTTATACAGAATTTTATTCCATTTGTTAATTCTGTTTCATTCATCAAAACAATTCTATTCTCAAGTATCCATGACAATGCAACTGTAACAAACCAATGATTGCAGCAGTAACTGTTTATGATTTTCCTGAACAGACCAACAGCCGCTGATGAGATGTGTAACTTCTACATCATGTATTACAAGGAGGTCGGCACACAGATTCCTTTCCCACAGTGTGTTGGCAACAATGTGCCAAGTCTCATCGCAAATCTCCCACCAGGTTCAGATGAACCACTTCCTTACAATGCCACACTAGAAGCAGCGGCACATGGTCATGGCAGCCACATGCAAGGCCACGAGGATCCTAACACTTCGACTGATACTGTCGACAAACCAACAGATAGCAGTAAGCCAGGTAATTTGAAGAACATTCTATACAATGAATACTTGCCGTCACAGTTTAAACAAAACGTGTACCCCAGGGAATATGTTCCAGATTATCAGCTGGATGACTATTATTCTGATGTAGAAACACAACGAGGCAGAAAACGGCCACATCCGAGTTTTGATTACTATGGTGACGCAATAAATAGACTACCATATATGGGCACCTCAGACGATATGGCCTCTACTGATTTACAAATGAAAAATCGTAATAGGAATAAAGTGTTTGATAGTTTGAGCAGACATTATGGTGAAACAAATCGAGACACAATGGCTGACAATAGATTCCTTAGAATTCAACCAGAAACAAAGAGTCTTAATCTTCATGATTCTCCTGAAAATTTTGGAAAGTCTGAGTTTGCAGAAGCTCAAGGCATACGAACAATGCCTGCCCCGGTGAAGAAGGTCAAGGTTGGGGGTAGTAAGTACACAGGCATGTCTGTTACCCATAATCCTTTTGTTGTAAAGTGGTCACAGTGACTTTCCACTTTTTGTCATGAAACACTTGTGTAGCATATATAGAAATATCAATGTGGAACGTCATTACATGTCATTACATCTATTTGCTTCAGCGCTTGTTATTATAGTCTAATGAATGACTTCACACTTAAACAGGCCGACAGCTTCACGGCAGATAAAGACAGCTTCTTGTTTATTTATGCTATATTTTTGTTGTATAGTTTTGCCCGACTTGAGTGTTGTGAGTGTACAGTATATCTCTATCTTCGGTTCCCTTTGTTGTTTGAATTGTTTTCGTCCCTGTCATATTTAGTTATTTATTGCTTACAGAATGTCAAACTTTGTTGTCTCAATATCTACCAGATTCCAGGATTCCAAATTTAATCATTTTATCTATAGTGGCATTTAATTACCTGTGAATATTTAAATAATTTTGTATCCTAGATGCATTCGTTGTGGACCCTTAACAATTGTAATTCTCGCTAACTACGCTTGTCGATGAATTTCAAGCAAAACAAATACATAAATGAATTGAAATGTGTTCATACTTTAAGATTTATTAAAATATTACTGATGAAACCCTAGTACTTTTCTGAAATATATCCCTTAATATGACCACAAAATTACTCACCTAAAATGACCGCCATGACATAACTCAGTCACAGAGATGCATGAGTTGGCTTACAGTGACCCAGAAGTACACATAAATTACTAGAAATCATAATTTGATGAAAAGAAAACAAAACGTCATCGTGTAGTAGTGGTGGTGAATATCTGTGTTGATGTGTTCACCTTTCCTAAAGGGTTAGATCAATGATTTTTTGTTTGGTCTTCTCTCAAATGAGCCTTATTTCTTGATAAATTTCTTTTTTTATAACACAAACTGTTGAAATAAAGTTAATTTTTCTTTTTTGTCTACAACTCACTTGTTAATTCTAATCAGAAATGAGTCTTCAAAAGTGATCATTTTTAAAATCATCATTTTCCCAATACATACAAGACGTACATGTCAGGACTTCCTTAGCCAAAGAGTTGCAAGAAAGCCTAGCCATTCATTCATGGTCGATTTTCATTGACTTGACAGAAGACAACAATGATTGATGGGTTATTTCATCATATCTGAGAGGACGTTTGACAAACACTCAAACCTACCATTAAAATAATTATATACTCATAATATTTTACAGGGTATGATTAGCATGGCAATTTTTTATTCATTCTGGATGCATGACTTGTTAAAGCAGTCAAAATTATCAGGGTGAGAGTTCATGTCAATATTTCATGTGATACAGCTAGACAAAATGATGCTGTGAAATACATAACAGTCTGCAACTGATGTTGAGATGATAGAAACAGGCGTCCTGATGTGAGATAGATATTCTAACCCCCTTAACCCTGGATGTATCTCTGTCTGTATGTATTTGTGTTGTATTTGTTCACTGTATGAGGTTCTTTTTGTCACCAATAACTTTGTGTATAACATTGACAATAATAAACTTCAATGACTGATATCCTTTGTCGCTGTGAGATGTCAGTGATGATACAGAGTAAAATGTTTGTGTATAACATTGACAAATGATATCCTTTGTCGCTGTGAGACGTCAGTGATGATACAGAGTAAAGTGTTTGTGTATAACAGTGTTTATGTATAACGTCAGTGATGATACAGAGTAAAGTGTTTGTGTATAACATTGACAAATGATATCCTTTGTCGCTGTGAGACGTCAGTGATGATACAGAGTAAAGTGTTTGTGTATAACATTGACAAATGATATCCTTTGTCGCTGTGAGATGTCAGTGATGATACAGAGTGAAGTGTTTGTGTATAACATTGACAAATGATATCCTTTGTCGCTGTGAGATGTCAGTGATGATACAGGGTAAAGTGGTGTCTGGTAGAGTATGTGTGAGTTAGTTTTATAAATATGACCATAAGGAAAGGAAATTCCTGCATTTGATATTAATATAAACTGTTGTAAATATTGAATTATGTTATGATTTCATATTTTTTGTATTATAAAAATGTGCTATATAATGAACCAGTATTAGAAATGATAGTGTTACTTTGATGTCCTTCTCTATGTATCCGTAAATAATTCAATATGGTTGTTTTCACAGGTTTACAACACTATGTGAACTTTCAGTCAGATTTCATGTCAGACAAATCCCAGACGAGTTCATCTGTGAACGGCCTCGACTATCCCATAGGGCAGGTAGGGGGTGTGGCCACAGATGACAAAGGAGGTGTCTACGTATTTCATCGTGGTAACCGGGTCTGGGACAGCAGGTAATTACAAGTTATTGGTGTGTATGATATTGGCTATTCATGTCAGACTGTTTAACATCTGATCAAGGTCCATGCACCTCTGTCAGTGGTAATGTCAACAGTTCAACAGCATTCATTTCTTTTGTTTAATTGAAGTAGAAAAAATGGATCTGGATTTATACTGTATTATTCCATGATTCACCTTGATTATATTTGCATTTCATATTTTGCAGGTCCTTCAATTTTGCAAATGTTTTTCAACAACAAAATAGTCCTATTGAACAGGAGACCATTATCATGTACAATAAGGATAGTAACATTCTCCGCAAGTTTGGAAAAAATATGTAAGTTAGATTTTTTTTAAATGTTTGTACAAAAAAAAGAAGATCCGGGACATAACTGTCTTTCCTGGCAGACAGTTTTACAATAATTGTAAACATTTATTGTCTACTTTATGATGAGAATTTTTCATATGAGTTACCCAAACATTAGAAATTATACAAACATAATACTTTACAGTATGATCAAATGTAAATAACACTAATTAGTACATACATGGTAATAATATGATGACTTGTTATTTTTAAGCTTTTACATGCCCCATGGTATAACAGTGGACCAAAACTTCAATATCTGGGTCACAGATGTTGGTCTTCACCAGGTAAGTGTCTCCATGTAGTGCCTCATCAGCTACAGCCTACATGTATGTGCTGAGTATTTGATACAAAAATAACATACCTGTAATCAGTTAGCTTCAGATATGCACTTTTATGGGATTGTGTTAAAATGTCCAAGATTAGAAATTTTCTCAGTTTCTTGAACTGAATGAAATTAAAGGGGGATCACTCTGATATGACCATTTGTAGATTGTGTTTCAAAAGCCATGTATAATGGCAACAAAATTTACGTACATTACTTGCTTTAAAATCCAACGTAAAGAATCACTATCATTGTTTTTTACATCATCATCCATCATGATTAAGAAAACTTGCAGATATAGTGTTAAATCCAATAAAGAGATATAAATCTACCTTATTACATATTCAGTCTTGGCTTAGGTATACTGAATGGTAGATAGGTAATGATTGACCTTTGTTTTTAGGTTATGAGGTTCGCACCAGGAAGTGAACAACCTAACCTGACCTTAGGGGTGAAGTTTCAGCCTGGAAGTGACAACATTCACTTCTGTAAACCGACAGATGTTGCTGTTTTGTCAACAGGAGAGTTTTTTGTCTCTGATGGGTAAGGTTCTTATGTTTAAAGGGGGGTGAAAAAAAAACTCGATCCTCATTAAAATGAATTAATATTTAGTCAGAACATGTTTTAATTAAAAAATTGCTAAATGTACCTTGTCTAGCAGTAGAGATATTTTTCTGTCTAAGATGTTGTACTTTAAGTAATATATTGTGGACTTGTATAAGACATTGTTATTATATATGTAGTGTAAACATTTTCATGATTATTCAGTAATTCCTGGGTAAAAAGAAATTTGTCTTTATTTCATTAAACAAGATTTTTAGACCTCGGTTTGTTTACCAGCCGGGTTGTCAACAATGATGACTTAAGATCTTGTGATTTTATTTTGATGTCCAGAATTAAAGTGTGTAAACAATTGGCATTAGCTGTAGACACAATAATTCCATAAATAAGGTATTTACCTATTGAAATATAGTATTAACATATTAAGATAAGGTATTTGCATATTAAAAGAAGGTATTTACATATTAAAATAAGGTATTTACATATCAAAATAAGGTATTTACATATCAAAATAAGGTATTTACATATCAAAATAAGGTATTTACATGTTAAGATAAGGTATTTACATATTAAGATAAGGTATTTACATATTACTGGGACTGATGTATGTTTTTTTTTCCTCTTTAGGTATTGTAACTCCAGGATAATGAAGTTTACAAGTAATGGAACTCTGATCAAGATATTTGGCAATGGTTTAATGACACAGCAAGGTAAAACTAACTTACATCATTAGCTTATCATCAACTTTTCCATCAATAAAACAAACATGGCCGGCTTTCCACCAAGATTAATGAAAATTATGGAGAAGTTTTACAATTGGACAAAATGAATATGCATTGTAAATGTGGTCTTGTTTTGAATTGTACTGATATGCCTGTTTTATTTTTATTGACAGCTGATGGGTACCCTCCAGAATCAAGTTTCGACATTCCCCATAGTCTAACTGTTGCTGAAGACAAAGGTCTTTTATGTGTGGCCGACCGAGAAAATGGAAGAATTCAGTGCTTTGATTTCAATGGCAACTTTCAAAAACAAATTCATCCAGCAGAGTTTGGACCGAGACTGTTTGCTATTGAATATTGTCCGCTACATGGTAACTAGTCTATATCCTTGTGTTGTAGGTTATATCACTAGCTCGCTCTGCCGTGTGTCAGTGAGCGTCATATTATAAGGCAAACAAGTGATAATCAATGCGCCTATGACATTATCAATAGTTGATGTCACATCATATATTTCAGAGGTGAAATATATTCACAGCGGAAACTTTTTATTTTTATTATGAAATTGATTGAGAGTTTCAACCTACTTTCTAAATGAGTATGTGTTGTAGAAATTCAATTCAATTCATTCAAAGGTACATTCAGAGTTAGGGCCCCTTATATCAATTACCTGAACAGTATCAGCTTATTATCTCAAATAGTTTCTAACAGATACACTTCAAACTCCATAGGCAATGTTCATTACCACCATAGCTCAGACAAGTTTGATAAACAAATTTATTCACTTTTTTTTTTTGTGTAATTCCCTTTGTAAAATTGATCGAACAAAAACATATTTTTTACGGATCATCTCCGAATTTGACAGCCATTAATGCCTGGTGGTTTACTTAGGTTGTCTCTACCATTACACAACTGACACTGTCTGTAAATGACATTAATGTGTTGATCAGATATTATACATCACATTTCTTCCCTATCTGTCTCCTGGATTTAATTCTTGCTTGCCAAAACTTGTAGAAATTAAAAATTCTAAGACTTTTTTCATAAAATAAATAAGATGAAAGCTTATCAAAGATCCTATATGTTTTTTGTTGTACAGTTCATTTGTCGGGAACAGATAATTCTTTAGGTTTAACTTTTTTTTCTTGATTTTCTTGATAAAGGAAATTAGTCAATAAAGAAATAGAAGTTGTTGTATGGGACAGAGACTGGTGTAACTGTCAGTAACTTGTAATTTGTTGTGTAAAATATTTGGTTTTTACTTGAACCATATTAATACCTAGAATGAAAGCTGCATTATACACAAATAATGAGGTCTAACCTACAAGCTTAAAATGAAAACCACAAATTTTTCACCCTAAGTATGTGTACATAGTGAACGTCTAAATCTTTTTTTACAGATGGTTTACTGTTTGCGGTCAATGGTCCTCCACTTGATAACAGCCAAACCACAGTTCAAGGCTTCATTGTAGATATCAACAGTGGAACACTGTCCGAATCCTGGAACACTCAAGATGTGGGTAATCACCCAAATCCAATGAAAAGGCCTGCGGGCTAAATCGGGGATTTATAAAGATGTGTGGGCTGTAATCAGGGATTTATAAAGATGTGTGGGCTTTAATCAGGGATTTATAAAGATGTGTGGGCTGTAATCAGAGATTTATAAAGATGTGTGGGCTGTAATCAGGGATTTATAAAGATGTGTAGGCTTTAATCAGAGATTTATAAAGATGTGTGAGCTGTAATCAGGGATTTATAAAGATGTGTGGGCTTTAATCAGGGATTTATAAAGATGTGTGGGCTGTAATCAGAGATTTATAAAGATGTGTGGGCTGTAATCAGGGATTTATAAAGATGTGTAGGCTTTAATCAGGGATTTATAAAGATGTGTGGGCTGTAATCAGAGATTTATAAAGATGTGTGGGCTGTAATCAGGGATTTATAAAGATGTGTAGGCTGTAATCAGAGATTTATAAAGATGTGTGGGCTTTAAGAAGGGGATTTATAAAGATGTGTGGGCTTTAATCAGGGGATTTATAAAGATGTTTGGGCTCTAATCGGGGATTTATAGATATGTGTGGGCTCTAATCAGAGATTTATAAAGATGTGTGGGCTTTAATCAGGGGATTTATAAAGATGTGTGGGTTTTAATCAGAGATTTATAAAGATGTGTGGGCTGTAATCAGAGATCTATAAAGATGTGTGGGCTTTAATCAGGGATTTATAAAGATCTGTGGGCTCTAATTGGGGATTTATAAAGATGTGTGGGCTGTAATCAGGGATTTATAAAGATGTGTGGGCTTTAATCAGGGATTAATAAATATGTGTGGGCTTTAATCAGGGATATATAAAGATGTTTGGGCTCAATCAGGGATTTATAAAGAGGTGTGGGCTTTAATCAGGGATATATAACGATGTGTGGGCTTTAATCAGGGATTTATAAAGATGTGTGGGCTTTAATCGGGGATATATAAAGATGTTTGGGCTTTAATCAGAGATTTATAAAGATGTGTGAGTTTTAATCAGAGATTAATAAAGATGTGTGGGCTTTAATCAAGGGATTTATAAAGATGTGTGGGCTTCAATCAGGGATATATAAAGATGTTTGGGCTCTAATCGTGGATTTATAGATATGTGTGGGCTCTAATCAGAGATTTATAAAGATGTGTGGGCTTTAATCAGGGGATTTATAAAGATGTGTGGGCTTCAATCAGGGATATATAAAGATGTTTGGGCTCTAATCGGGGATTTATAAAGATGTGTGGGCTTTAATCAGAGATATATAAAGATGTGTGGGCTTTAATCAGAGATATATAAAGATGTGTGGGCTTTAATCAGAGATTTATAAAGATGTTTGGACTCTAATCGGGGATTTATAAAGATGTTTGGGCTCTAATCGGGGATTTATAAAGATGTGTGGGCTTTAATAAGGGGATTTATAAAGATGTGTGGACTCAATCAGGGATTTATAAAAATGTGTGGGCTTTAATCAGAGATTTATAAAGATGTGTGGGCTTTAATCAGGGATTTATAAAGATGTTTGGGCTCTAATCAGGGATGTATAAAGATGTATGGGCTTTAATCAGAGATTTATAAAGATGTTTGGGCTTTAATAAGGGGATTTATAAAGATGTGTGGGCTTTAATCAGGGATTTATAAAGATGTGTGGGCTTTAATCCAGGATTTATAAAGATGTGTGGGCTTTAATCAGGGATATATAAAGATGTGTGGGCTTTAATCAGAAATTTATAAAGATGTGTGGGCTGTTTATGTGTGATTTTATGATATCAGTATTGTAGACTATTTTGTTAGATTCATAAATATCTGGGAAAGAATGAGTTTTGAATGTTTCTACATTACACATCCTACCTGCACTATTTCTTGTTTTATTTGGTATGGAAGCTTTGAAATTGTGTGATAATCCAGATATTTTGTGTACATGTCAAGCTTATGTAAATGAACCCTTATCACACATAACAACAGTTAATTTTAAATTATATAGCTACATGTAATTGTTTGGAGGTAGGTTTTATGTCACAGTAAGAGAATTTATCATCAAGTGAAGGATAGTACTAATGGTTTTCACCTTTTGTCGGTTTTAGGGCCTAAAGAACCCACATGATGTGGCAGTAGATCCTCATAACCTGAGAGTCTATGTAGGCGAGCTCAACCCGTCCAAGGTGTGGCGGTTTGACATGATGGGCGACAGTGGATCTATTGTCACTGATCGACCAAAATCTACTCCCGGTAAGTCATCTGGCTCACTTGTACAAGGTTAACACCTGTAAATAATGATGTGCCGTTTCAACAAGACTTTAACATTAAAAGGTTGATACTTTCTATTACTGGTACCTAGATACAGTCTACCCTGATAACATAACAGGGCTGTTCATTCAGAAGAGAATCTGTCTTAGCATCCTCAGGTGAAAATCTGGGATAAGCTGTTCAATCCATACCGGGGTGTCTTGTGTCTCAGGAAGCTGAGACAATGGGCCTTATGGTTGTATCTTTGGGTAAGACACTTAGCTATTATTGGTTATGATTGCATGCTGCAGCTTCTTCACATGATGCACAGAGATATAGCCATAAGATGCTACAAGGAGACACTCGCCCTAAAATGACCATGGCTTTCCATTACGCAATCTTATGTAGTAACACCCTGTTTGAAATGATAGATGTTGACATGAATTTAAACAAAGTTATACATTTTGATAATCAACCAATCATCTTTGTAGTATTATCATCCAATGAAATTCCTTTATTAACCCAGGAAACCCTGGTACAACATCAGTGAGTAAAGTAACAGAGAGCACCACAGATACATCAGAACCGATTGTTGCCAAGGGAACACAGAAGGAGGACACCGTTTTACCAGCTGTCATCATAGGGGTCCTTCTCGTCATCCCAGTTGTCATTATTGTCATCGTTGTTGTTGTCGTCAGAGTCTACAAAAATGGTAAAGCACTTTAATGACCATGTGTTTTTGTATTATAGCATCAAAACTTCTCATTACAATTACATTGAGGTACTCAAACACCACTAGTGTTATCCAGTGATAGATATTTCAGTATAACTACGGTGTGAGTGCATCCTATGTGATTTTAATGAAATTGTCCCTGTTTGTACCCCAGTACTTGTACCTCATTATATAACATGTTGCTTGGACTAAGCGTTGCTTTCTTCGTCAGATTGTTTACTACATGTTTTTTCATTTTGCATCCAAAATGTGGCTATAAATTCTGCTTTCTCTCACCTCTTCAACACAACTTCTGAGCAGAGTGTTCGGTTTTAACACTGAATAGTTACAATCATTGATTCTATAATATAAACTAAGTGAGTAAGAATGTCTTGTTAATTTTAATGTCTGAGCTATTCTCATGACTTTGTAGAAATCTAAATATAATCTAAGATATGGATAACCCAATCCTGGTAACCCTTAAACATGGCGGGGAATTTAAACCTAATAAGAAAAGAAAAAAACATAAGAAAAAAGAAGAAAAAACGATTAAAAATTTGGAGGGAGAAAATGCTCTTTCTTTCACATAATGTATGAATGCAAGCTAAGATAAACTTTATATAATAAATAATGTATGTTATTATTCATTTTAAAGTTGATGAGGACTGTTTGATAAGTAAATAATATCTACTCTGTTCAGAAGTTATGTTATATACAAGAGTCAGTGTTACCTTTAAAATCTTTCATCTGTGTAGTTTATTCATTCATTTGCTTCTTATTTATCCTTTATTATATATATATATGTATATATCTGTTGTTCTGTTTGCCTACTGCTTGTAATCACTGGTGTAATCCCTACATATCTAAGGCTCATACAAACTGCTTGGTGATCAGAACACCATTCTGTAGATATAGAAACAGCATACTTATTTAATTTGTTTATTGTTTGTATACATGTCTAGTGTATCTGTGTGTGTTCACAACATAGTAAAGGGACAGTACTCTTTACTCATGGTGTCTGTTACTGTGTGGTGTGTTGCTGTATGATGTGTGTTACTGTATGGTATGTGTTACTGTATGGTGTGTGTAACTATATGGTGTGTTACTGTGTGGTGTGTTGCTGTATGGTGTGTGTTACTGTATGGTATGTGTTACTGTATGGTGTGTGTAACTATATGGTGTGTTACTGTGTGGTGTGTTGCTGTATGGTGTGTTTTACTGTATGGTGTGTTTAACTGTATGGTGTGTTACTGTATGGTGTGTTACTGTATGGTGTGTGTTACTGTATGGTGTGTGTTACTGTATGGTGTGTGTTTTACTGTATGGTGTGTTACTGTATGGTGTGTGTGTTACTGTGTGGTATGTTACTGTATGGTGTGTGTTATTCAGTGTAACTGTGTGTTATTCAGTGTTACTGTATGGTGTGTTATTCAGTGTTACTGTATGGTGTGTGTTATTCAGTGTTATTATGTGTTATTCAGTGCTACTGTATGGTGTGTTATTCAGTGTTACTGTATGGTGTGTGTTATCCAGTGATACTGTATGGTGTGTGTTATTCAGTGTTACTGTGTGGTGTGTGTTATTCAGTGTTACTGTGTGGTGTGTGTTATTCAGTGTTACTGTATGGTGTGTGTTATTAAGTATTACTGTATGGTGTGTGTTACTGTATGGTGTGTGTTATTCAGTGTTACTGTATGGTGTGTTATCCAGTGTTACTGTATGGTGTGTTATTCAGTGTTACTGTGTGGTGTGTGTTATTCAGTGATACTGTATGGTGTGTGTTATTCAGTGTTACTGTATGGTGTGTTATTCAGTGTTACTGTTTGGTGTGTGTTATTCAGTGTTACTGTATGGTGTGTTATTCAGTGTTACTGTATGGTGTGTGTTATTCAGTGATACTGTATGGTGTGTGTTATTCAGTGTTACTGTATGGTGTGTGTTATTCAGTGTTACTGTTTGGTGTGTGTTATTCAGTGTTACTGTATGGTGTGTTATTCAGTGTTACTGTATGGTGTGTGTTATTCAGTGATACTGTATGGTGTGTTATTCAGTGTTACTGTATGGTGTGTTATTCAGTGTTACTGTATGGTGTGTGTTATTCAGTATTACTGTATGGTGTGTGTTATTCAGTGATACTGTATGGTGTGTGTTATTCAGTGCTACTGTTGTGGTGTTTGTTTGTTCTATAGTATGGTTTGATTTATCTAATGTTTTGTTGTCTGTAATTCTGTTACTAATGTCTGTGCTTGCCACTGCTATTGTAACACAGGTCAGAAGACTCGAAGACACAATGTTAATCCTGCAGACTGTATAGAGGTATAACATACATTGTTTACATCGTAGGGTGATGTGGAAAATTGTTTCTCAAAATTTGTGGTTGTTGAATGTGGATGGGGATCGGTTAACATACTAACACATATATTCTTTAATTTAGTGAGGAGATCTGAACTTTTTGATTTCTGACTTGTGCTAGAGTTACCTCCCTTTAACAATACTTTTTGCTACTTTTATTTGTAAGTCAGAATGCTTCCACAGTTACTACTTCAAAAATTGTACAAAAGACACACTGCATCATCTGTTTCATCCTTTCAGGACCTATCACTGATGCTATGGGGGCTTAAATTTTAAAATCTTGACTTAGAAACTTACAGTGTTAGAAAAATGTCAAAATCTAGATAGGGGGGTGGGGGGTGGGAGGGGATGGTGCACTTTTCTCATACTTCAACAAAATTTTATTTTGGAAACAGATTTTGCTCTTTGGAGTGATATCATTTTTAAAGACAATTATTTTCTGTGGGAAGATATTTAGCATGTCAGCCTCTTTAAACTACAGACACCATTTTAATGACTAAAAAAAGAAAGAAAATTGTTGTCAAGTGTCATGAGAACATCTTTTAGGATTGAATTTACATAGATTAATATTGATAATACTTTGACATTGATTGAATTTTATTCACAGACTTGTACTTAGTTACCAAGTTCGTCATGTTATTCAATCTGTTCTTCTGGGTTAACATGCATGTGATCTTGAATTGATGGGAAAGATTCAATACAAACTTTTGTTGAAGTTAAAAATATCTTATTAAAGTATTGAACAATATGATGCATTTGATTAACTCTGTGTTTGATTGAGGGATAACTAAACTGACAATTATTGATTGACAAAATGATTTGATATTGTATAAATAGACATGAACTGAAAATTAATTGTCAAAACAAGTTGATTTGCTATAACTAAACTGACAATTATTGAGTGACTAAATGTGTTGAGGTTTCATTTAAATATACTGACAGTAAGTGTTGTGGGTTGATATCCTACTAGTATACTGAGATATCTATTTGATCGTGTGATTTCAGTAAATATATACAAATATACTGACAGGTTTTAAGTGGTTTGCTGTGTGAACAGAAACAATAAACTGGTCTTTGCGTGTCATGTTACTAAAACTTTATGGACAACAAACTACTTAGTAAAACTAGCAGTTAACTGTAACAGGACAGGTACCATTAGTAGTTAACTGTAACAGGACAGGTACCACTAGTAGTTAACTGTAACAGGACAGGTACCACTAGTAGTTAACTGTAACAGGACAGGTCAGTTAACTGTACCACTAGTAGTTAACTGTAACAGGACAGGTACCACTAGTAGTTAACTGATACCAGGACAGGTACCACTAGTAGTTAACTGATACCAGGGTAGGTACCACTAGTAGTTAACTGTAACAGGACAGGTTACTGTAACAGGACAGGTACCACTAGTAGTTAACTGATACCAGGACAGGTACCACTAGTAGTTAACTGTAACAGGACAGGTACCACTAGTAGTTAACTGTAACAGGACAGGTACCACTAGTAGTTAACTGTAACAGGACAGGTACCACTAGTAGTTAACTGTAACAGGACAGGTACCACTAGTAGTTAACTGTAACAGGACAGGTACCACTAGTAGTTAACTGTAACAGGACAGGTACCACTAGTAGTTAACTGTAACAGGACAGGTACCACTAGTAGTTAACTGTAACAGGACAGGTACCACTAGTAGTTAACTGTAACAGGACAGGTACCACTAGTAGTTAACTGTAACAGGACAGGTACTACTAGTAGTTAAAGGTAACAGGACAGGTACCACTAGTAGTTAACTGGTACCAGGACAGGTACCACTAGTAGTTAACTGTAACAGGACAGGTACCACTAGTAGTTAACTGTAACAGGACAGGTACCACTAGTAGTTAACTGTAACAGGACAGGTACCACTAGTAGTTAACTGTAACAGGACAGGTACCACTAGTAGTTAACTGTAACAGGACAGGTACCACTAGTAGTTAACTGTAACAGGACAGGTACCACTAGTAGTTAACTGTAACAGGACAGGTACCACTAGTAGTTAACTGTAACAGGACAGGTACCACTAGTAGTTAACTGTAACAGGACAGGTACCACTAGTAGTTAACTGTAACAGGACAGGTACCACTAGTAGTTAACTGTAACAGGACAGGTACCACTAGTAGTTAACTGTAACAGGACAGGTACCACTAGTAGTTAACTAGTAGTTAACTGTAACAGGACAGGTACCACTAGTAGTTAACTGTAACAGGACAGGTACCACTAGTAGTTAACTGTAACAGGACAGGTACCACTAGTAGTTAACTGTAACAGGACAGGTACCACTAGTAGTTAACTGTAACAGGACAGGTACCACTAGTAGTTAACTGTTACAGGACAGGTACCACTAGTAGTTAGCTATAACAGGACAGGTACCATTAGTAGTTAACTGTAACAGGACAGGTACCACTAGTAGTTAACTGTAACAGGACAGGTACCACTAGTAGTTAACTGTAACAGGACAGGTACCACTAGTAGTTAACTGTAACAGGACAGGTACCACTAGTAGTTAACTGTAACAGGACAGGTACCCCTAGTAGTTAACTGATACCAGGACAGGTACCACTAGTAGTTAACTGTAACAGGACAGGTACCACTAGTAGTTAACTGTAACAGGACAGGTACCACTAGTAGTTAACTGTAACAGGACAGTTAACTGTAACAGGACTAGTAGTTAACTAGTAGTAACTGTAACAGGACAGGTACCACTAGTAGTTAACTGTAACAGGACAGGTACCACTAGTAGTTAACTGTAACAGGACAGGTACCACTAGTAGTTAACTGTAACAGGACAGGTACCACTAGTAGTTAACTGTAACAGGACAGGTACCACTAGTAGTTAACTGATACCAGGACAGGTACCACTAGTAGTTAACTAATACCAGGACAGGTACCACTAGTAGGTAACTGATACCAGGGTAGGTACCACTAGTAGTTAACTGATACCAGGACAGGTACCACTAGTAGTTAACTGATACCAGGACAGGTACCACTAGTAGTTAAATGTAACAGGACAGGTACCACTAGTAGTTAACTGTAACAGGACAGGTACCACTAGTAGTTAACTGTAACAGGACAGGTACCACTAGTAGTTAACTGTAACAGGACAGGTACCACTAGTAGTTAACTGATACCAGGACAGGTACCACTAGTAGTTAACTGTAACAGGACAGGTACCACTAGTAGTTAACTGTAACAGGACAGGTACCACTAGTAGTTAACTGTAACAGGACAGGTACCACTAGTAGTTAACTGTAACAGGACAGGTACCACTAGTAGTTAACTGTAACAGGACAGGTACCACTAGTAGTTAACTGTAACAGGACAGGTACCACTAGTAGTTAACTGTAACAGGACAGGTACCACTAGTAGTTAACTGTAACAGGACAGGTACCACTAGTAGTTAAATGTAACAGGACAGGTACCACTAGTAGTTAACTGTAACAGGACAGGTACCACTAGTAGTTAACTGTAACAGGACAGGTACCACTAGTAGTTAACTGTAACAGGACAGGTACCACTAGTAGTTAACTGTAACAGGACAGGTACCACTAGTAGTTAACTGTAACAGGACAGGTACCACTAGTAGTTAACTGTAACAGGACAGGTACCACTAGTAGTTAACTGTAACAGGACAGGTACCACTAGTAGTTAACTGTAACAGGACAGGTACCACTAGTAGTTAACTGTAACAGGACAGGTACCACTAGTAGTTAACTGTAACAGGACAGGTACCACTAGTAGTTAACTGTAACAAGACAGGTACCACTAGTAGTTAACTGTAACAGGACAGGTACCACTAGTAGTTAACTGTAACAGGACAGGTACCACTAGTAGTTAACTGTAACAGGACAGGTACCACTAGTAGTTAACTGTAACAGGACAGGTACCACTAGTAGTTAACTGTAACAGGACAGGTACCACTAGTAGTTAACTGTAACAGGACAGGTACCACTAGTAGTTAACTGTAACAGGACAGGTACCACTAGTAGTTAACTGTAACAGGACAGGTACCACTAGTAGTTAACTGTAACAGGACAGGTACCACTAGTAGTTAACTGTAACAGGACAGGTACCACTAGTAGTTAACTGTAACAGGACAGGTACCACTAGTAGTTAACTGTAACAGGACAGGTACCACTAGTAGTTAACTGACAGGTACCACTAGTAGTTAACTGTAACAGGACAGGTACCACTAGTAGTTAACTGTAACAGGACAGGTACCACTAGTAGTTAACTAGTAGTTAACTGTAACAGGACAGGTACCACTAGTAGTTAACTGTAACAGGACAGGTACCACTAGTAGTTAACTGATACCAGGACAGGTACCACTAGTAGTTAACTGTAACAGGACAGGTACCACTAGTAGTTAAATGTAACAGGACAGGTACCACTAGTAGTTAACTGTAACAGGACAGGTACCACTAGTAGTTAACTAGTAGTTAACTGTAACAGGACAGGTACCACTAGTAGTTAACTGTAACAGGACAGGTACCACTAGTAGTTAACTGTAACAGGACAGGTACCACTAGTAGTTAACTGTAACAGGACAGGTACCACTAGTAGTTAACTGATACCAGGACAGGTACCACTAGTAGTTAACTGTAACAGGACAGGTACCACTAGTAGTTAACTGTAACAGGACAGGTACCACTAGTAGTTAACTGATACCAGGACAGGTACCACTAGTAGTTAACTGATACCAGGACAGGTACCACTAGTAGTTAACTGATACCAGGACAGGTACCACTAGTAGTTAACTGATACCAGGACAGGTACCACTAGTAGTTAACTGATACCAGGACAGGTACCACTAGTAGTTAGCTATAACAGGACAGGTACCACTAGTAGTTAACTGATACCAGGACAGGTACCACTAGTAGTTAACTGATACCATGGACATCTAGTTGGTATCAGGGTTACCCTGCGGATATCACGATGATTTAGATAGTTATGTGGTGGTGTCCCTGCTATGAGCTGGTATCAGGCTCATCTAACTCTACCATGAGAATTTTTTCCAGAGATATGAATCATGCTACAGGTTGATAAGGCTGTGCTCATATTAAGTTTAAATCCAGGAAAGGTTATGTTCGTTTTGACAAAAAAAAAAAACATTCATTTTATTATTGTGTTAGATTATTCCTGTTTTACATTTGTTTTAAGAAACAATCCGAACTTTTGTGATCTTATTGCAGAAATGAAACTGTCATCTTTTATAGATATATAAGTTATAGAAATATTTGATACCATTTCTTGATAAAATCTCATAAGTTTTACTTGTTTTTTATGCAGGCAAATACAATTGTTGCGGACGACATCGATCATACTCCCGCAAAAAGTTTAACCTTGGTGACCTCCTCAGCTCACACCGAGGATTTGACCGACTGAGCACTGATGAGAGTGACCATGACATTGACCTCAGTGACTCTGACCAAGAGGAGTACACTATTACCCAGAAAGCATGATCATTGTAATCAAGGGAAGTAACTCTGATGGTCACAAAGTGTGCAGAACAAATTTGTATCACAAATTAGAATTGTTGATTTTGTTGAATTTTGAAAAAGATGAAAATATTTGTTATTTTGTTGGTGTGTGTCCCTGTTGATACTCTGTGACTGAGTGACAGCAGCGTAACATAGACTTGTGTAGATTCAGCATTCAGAAAGTATGGTGCACTGCTGAGACTGTTGAGTACTATATAGGCCTACATGTATGTAAGAAAACTATTTTAATGGTTCTAAGGAAATCACTCTCTCCAAAATATCACTTTTTATATTAAATCAGATTTTTGTCATTATCTGTTTGGTTGAAATTACAAAACTCCTGTGAGAAATATGAATCATCTTGACACAAATTGAGATGTATGGGGTATATTTTATAAAGTGAGAAAAAATCACAATGTTAATGTAATTATATCAGCATTGAAATATAATCTTGAAATCCATTAAGATTTAATTAAACTTTCACAGGAGGATGTCCTAAACCAAGAGTTGATGTCTGTGTAGTAACATCCCTGATTAGGAGTTCTATACAACATCACTTTATTTATATTCTTATTTATAGAATTAATTTCATTGAAATGTTAATTTATTTATTTATGAATAATTAAGGTGGTGATAAATGGCTAGGAAATGAAATACAAGTCAAGGTATTTTAGAAAACTGAGTAATATCTAAATGTACAGTAGATGCCATGTATCTTAGCTTAAAACTTTATGTCTTTAAAAGGTCACATGATAAAGATATTACCATTTTGGGGATAAAGAAATAATAAACATTATTTATCAAATGTACCTATGTAGTGTAGGTATGCAAATATTGATTCATGTTTTAAGATATTTTCTGTAGTTCTTGATGTTTAAGATGTTATATTTATGACTAAGATAGATTAATGTGGAGACGTGTTATTACAGCGTGGTAATGTGCTGTAATATATGTGTCACTGAGGTAAAAGGTGATTATCTACGTGTATATATATGTGTGTATAATTACTGTTAACATGGTTAGCTTGGCACAGTTATATTATACATATTATGATAATTATGTATAACAAAACAACATACAGAACTGCAATTACACTATCATATTTTAGCGCTAGAATTTTAGTGTGAAAAACGCTAAAATAAGATTATAGCTAACATACATACAATGTACATTTACAGTATACGCTTAGAACATTGAGATCTAGGATCTATTTTTGGTGAGGAAATGTGAGAGATATTTTTTGGATCTTGAACTATTTGTGCCTGGTAGTCTCCTCATAGTATAGTACCTATTGTCTGCGGTCAGATCCGCGGAGGGCAGACGAGATCAAGTCCTCCGTTTTAGAAGGAGGCTTGATTACTTTGTGAATATTTTAATGTTGTACACTGTCTTTCATCATGTAAATTCATTCCATATTTGGTATTGACCCAGTTTGTCACTAACGTGGATCACATGACAATACATATTTAATTACTGATCTACATGTCGATAACTAGTCACTCTTGTTGTTATTAATTTGCTCCTCTGGTCTAATTGATATGAGTTCAGTTTTCTTAAAAGTTGCTTATTTTTTCAAAATCAGCATGGTTAATTAGGATTAAGGTTTTTATTAATAAGAAGATATTACGAATCCAGTCAGAATATTGAAGGATACAAGTATCAGAAAATTAAGATTTGTTTTGGAGTCACAAATATCAGAATCAGATATTTTACTGACCAGTTGTTTACCATTGGTCGTGACAAAATTGGCAGGTTTTACTTCACACAAAATGAAAATAACATAAATGTATCCTATATTTTATTACCATATACTTGTTTGTCGAAAAATCATTTTTGATTATTTTTTTCAATGAATGTCAATATTTTTTGTAGAGTTTTAATTATATATCTTAGTTTTTATTGTTGATTTGTCTTGCTCAATCACAAAGTCATTATATGAGATATATTTAAATGCCAGATATACAGATACATGCCTTTTAAAGTTTACTGAAAATCTCACTACTTAATCAATTCATTTACAATGTGTTTATCAATAGCCAAGTATGTTTCTATTTTAAATTGGATAACAAACACGTGTAAATATGTTTTTCCAGAATTAAGTATTTTTTATTCATAACTTTTTTTTAAAGTTTTTACAATTCCAAGTCGTTTGTTTTTGTAATTTTTTTCATGTGTTTGTCTGTCCCAGATAGCTGCAGTGTAGTTCATATTCATTCCAGATCCTAGTTTGTTGACTGTCAGGATTTTGACTGTAAAAGGTACATTGTATAATTGTCTTACAATGTCAGATCTGTACCATTTACTGGTCCAAAGTGTATTGATAGAGTTGGGGACATTTTTGGTTTTTTAAGTTAATCCAATTTTAACTTGTTATCTCTGAAGTTCTGAACAGTGTTTAACTTGAACTCCTTTTAATTTTCAGTCAATACAACATATATATAAATATATTTAGTAGACTTTTTTTAAGGAAAGGGGCAGGTCACAGTTTCAGCCTGTTGTCACAGCCCCTGGAAGTCCAATCCTACTATTCTGAATCTTTCAAATTGTCCAACAAGTTACCTGCCACCCCTGGCAGTAGTCACGTGCTATGGTTATATCTCGCATTTAAAGTTACAAATACATATATTATCAACATATTCAACCTTTGATTTTTTTCTTCTTTATGAAATCAAAGCTTAGTTTCAGCATCAAGTACATTCTGAAAGTTTAACCCATTGTGATATGACCTCAATTCTGTTCAAGGACTTTAAAACACAAATCATTGTGTTCAGGGACTTGAGGACAAAAATCTGTCCCAGAATAAGGTGACACTAAGATATCAATGGGCTGTAAAATGGATACTGAGTCTTTTCAAGGTGTTGTCAAAGGACTGAGCGACTCCTAGCTAGACGTCAGTGGACATCTTTTCCTTCTTCAGGTTACATCTTGCCATGCCATGGGACATATTTCCTCCTTTAAATTACGTCTTGCCATGCCATGGGACATATTCCTCCTTTAAATTACGTCTTGCCATGAGATTGTCCAATCAGTGCTAGAATAGGATAAGATATACAATGCATGTTTATCTTTCTTATTTAGGTAATATTATAATAAAAGTTTGTTTATTTACCCTAATTTCCTGTATATTACACCTGAAAGTAACAAGTTATCTGTTTATTATTGACAAAAGTAAACTATGAAAACACTGGCTATACACTGCTTTTTATTGCTTCATTTACAGGCAAATAAGGTTTTCATTTTATGTAGCAAATTACATTTGGAATTATCAGGATGTCATGTTTTGTTTAAAAAACAAATCTGTTAGTTGTCACGGTTGACGTTTCCACAGAAATATATTAAGTCTTCAGACAATACTGTCGTTGGTGTAGGTTTTATGGACTTATTTCTACAACATTTTAAAATGTCTGTATTTATGATCCAGCATAATATCCCCTGGTGCTGTTATTAGGCAGAAACTGAAAGAACATGTCTGTTAGAATACATCATAAATACTACTGTTTTTATCATACTCTGTCTGCTGTCTATCATATATTATAATCATAACGACTTTTGAATGATGCCGTATAAAAACATTGTATATTTTAGTACTTTTTATACCAGTCATATATAAGAAATTACTGTGTTAAATTGATAAAAGCTTAACATATAAGATTTCCTATAACATCACCTGTGATGGTGTAGATTTGGCAAATCAAAATGGTTCTTTCTTTTAAAAAATTCTACAAATTTTTCTATTTGTAGTCAAAATGATACTAGATAAGTGTTTCCTTCTATGCTACTCATTTCTGTGTACACTTCTGTCTTTTTCGTTAAAATTCACATTGGATAACAACTTTTTAAACGATTCTTAAGAAAAATTAACAACATAAAACAGTAGATTACCTTATGTCTTCTCATAATTTATAGTCAAATTGAGTTTTTGTATTTTTGGTTTAGAAATGTAATAAAAATCATTATTTCCTGTTGTAAGTTCCATTTCGATGAAGGATGGCACTGAATCATTTTGTGATACTTGTGAAACATTCATGGTTTTTACCAGTAAATCAATTTCGTTTCCTGTTTATACAGAATATATGTACATAAGATATAAAGTATTAATTTTCACATCACAAGGCATATCTCATTTTGCAAATTTTATCTTTCTTGTTAAAATCCACGGTGGTAATAGGAAGTATTTCCTGTGAATAACTCCATATATTGACTGTGTTACATACAAACTACGTATCCAGCTGCTTGTTAAAACACTACAAATTTTAGATCATTTGATTTTTAATAGAACATTGAGAAATGTTACATGTTCAGGTTATTCTAACTGCAGTTTTGGTCCAAATTAAGTTGTGTACATATTACTGAATTCAGGACATGTTTTTCTGTTATAAATTACATTATCTTTTTCTACAATTGTTTATTAATACATGTAGTTAAACTGATACAGAAAACTGGTTGTTCTTTCACTTTCACATAATAGAGGACTTACTTTCTCATCATTGTCTCAAGGGTTTTTTTTTATTTCAAATTTCACATATCTTGCCATTTGTAGAACATTTGAGGAAAACAAGTATTTGTACCACAATAGCTGAAGCACTTTGTGTATATTTGTGTTGTATGAAGTAATACTGGTATTATGTAAGATATACCTCATTGTTACCTTGTTATAACCTTACACTAGTCCATTATTAGCTCACCTGGCCCAAACGAGCCAAGTCATCTTAAGTCATGGTGTTTGTTCGTCCTCTATCAACTATTACTTAAATAATTTTTTCTATGTTTGACTGGCAAGTTCTTTGGATAAAGCGCAACAAATTTTTGGAAAAATAGTAACCTTGACACATATTCAAGGTCATAGATGTCAATTTGTTGAAACACTCATATTTTTTCTTCTGATTAACCAAAAAGTTTAAAATCCACATGGCTTGTAAGTAGCTTCCTCGGATGAAGCCCAACAAATTTTGCATACAGAAATTACCTTGTCAGTTTGTATTAAAAAAAGACATTAAGATTTTGTATTAAAAGAGGTAAACATTGTTTCTGATAATTTTGCATGGTATACTTGTTCCAGTTCTGATAGATTATGTATGTTGAAGTTTTCTAGGGATACATAATGGTTAGT